CACCGGCATTGTAGTACCTCACCCCAAGAAAAAGTGGGGGCCGCACCCAATGGTGGGGTGTCTACTCGTCAGCCGACTCGGTAACTGCCTCATTAGCGGTCTTGCTGTCAGAGGGACCAATCGATGGGGTGAATGTTATTTTCTGCTTTACGAAATTGGTATTCACTGAAATGTGAAAATTCGAAATTTTTGAAAAACCATCGGGGGAGCATGAAAATCGAGCAGGTATTAACTAAAATTGAAATTTTTCATTTTCAAATTTCAGTGAATACCTCTTCGATTTTCATGCTCCTCTGCTACTTTTTAGAAAATTTTGAAGTTTTCGATTTCAGTGAATACCTCCTCAATTGTCATGCTCTCCTGATACTTTTTCAAAAATTTCGCATTTTCATATTTCAGTGAATACCTCCTCCATTTTCATGCTCCCCTGATACTTTTTTGAAAATTTCGAATTTTTCAATTTCAGTGAATACCTCCTCGATTTTCATGCTCCCCTGATACTTTTTTGAAAATTTCGAATTTTTCAATTTCAGTGAATACCTCCTCAATTGTCATGCTCTCCCAATACTTTTTCAAAAATTTCGAATTTTCACATTTCAGTGAATACCAATTTCGTAACACATAAAATAAAATTCAGTTACCCATTCGGCTGACGGGACGACACCCCCATTGCGTGTGGCGCCCTCCCTCTCTTGGGGTACAGTACTACGATGCGCTGGGGTCACTCAAACCCCCAGAACTGAGCCTCTACTCTAGTCAATCCTCCTTGGCCCCCTTTGGCTGTTCACGGTTTGGCCTTGATGTTTGAAAATCAAGCTTGAGATTTTGGTGGGAAATTTGAATTTTTGTCGGTTAGGAAAATCTAGTAGGTTCGAGGCGACAGGTTAAATTCGGAGGAATTTAGTGGTTCGAGTTGTTTTCGTGATTACTAGACTCTAGGATTACTAGAGCACTTCAAGTTTAGCAGGTTCGAAGATTTTTTTAAATAAAATTATGTCATCATCGAAATCAAACCTATTAGATATGACGGAGGTCGAAGGAACTATTAATAGGTTCGAGATTTTCTCGTATCGACTGGAAAGCGTTCGAGTGCAGCTGTCGATTGTCAAATCGTATACGTTGATGCTGTCAAGGTCGTTACCCATCCCAAACAACACGTGTTTATCGCATTGATGTAACTCGTCATCACTAATCATCACTGCTATCTCATAATATTGTTGCTGTTGTCTGTCGAGGGTGCGCCTCCCACATATTTAGACGCACTCAAGTATTTTTATTGAAATCGTCAATCGTGTCATTGTTTATTTATTCAGGTTATTGTGCACTGAGCATGGAGATGACTAAATTGAATTCCTGTGTTGACGTGCCACTGACAGGTGGAATTCTCGAGGAAACTGTTGACAAAGCCAAGGATTTTGCTCTGATGCATGGTAATTTCATTTATACCACGATTTTTTATGAGCGATATATTTTTTCCTCGTCGCGTGGTTATCGGAATTTTTATTGAAAAAATTATGAAGTTCTAGGGATGATCCCAAGTCGGGCTGACAAATTTTTTTTTACACCACAACTTTCACTCTTCATGGCTTTGCCCCTCCAATTTTATAACTTTCATTCAGTATTTTTTTATTACGCGATTATCTCAGTTATGTCTGGGCTTGGGACAAAACGTCATGAGACATTTGCCGCGGAGAATTTTATGAGCTACAAAAAAGTTCTTCGGCATTTCCTGTTGAAATTACACGTTTTCGAGATTAATGCGTATTTATGAATGATGAAAATTGAGGAACTGGAGGATTTCATCTCCTAAGTTTATCAACGCTTTAATTTAATCAGGTTTATTAATTATTAAGTTATTATTATATTGTTTGCAGGTATGTGCATGCACTGGAAGGAGAATTTTGATCGAAATCGAGTGCAAGTAGCCAAGTTTATGTTATTACCAACAACTTTTCCCACGAACGAGTTCTCCAAGGCCCAGAATATTCAGGTCCTCGTTAATAAATTGATTCACAAAGTGTCATGTGATCATGACTTCCTCACGGAGGCATTGAAAAGGTACATTACATGAATCTCCAGCAATTCCAGTAGTGCCTGGTTCCATGACCTCGATATGATGGTTGTAAAATCCCCTTGCAGCCGAATTCAATTGAAATATAAATCACTTTCAATCTCCTGTAGACAAATTTCACTGAACTCGTTGATTTATTCATTGCAGCACTATCGAAACTGACGAATTGACCTCCGAACTGTTTAAAATCTACAAAACTGTTCATCAAGAAGGATTTGCTCAGGTAATCATTTTGGAAACGTTATTTACACAATTTTTTACACAATTTTTTACACAACTAGAATAAGCTGACAGAAAAATTTCACCCTTTCTCCACGAAATTCTATTGAATCTTCAGTGGATTTTCCTTTTTAGAACTTATGAATATTTTTTTCCTGCATTTCATTGTGAGAAAAATTTAAATTAATTCCTTTCAATTAATTATTTATATTCATTAATCATTAGAATCATTTCATTTTGATCGAGATTAATTATTTACATTCAAAATTTTCGACAAGATCAAATGCTCAAGGAGTAATTGAAAAACGTCAATTTGATGATTCTTGAAATTTTCAATTTCCACCAATAATGATTTTTTTTTTTTCAGAAAATCAGTCTGGGGCTTTTGCGGTCTGACTACATGTTGGATAATGATTCAAAAATAAAACAGGTGGAAGTCAACACAATGGCGTCGAGTTTCGCAGGGTTATCTGAAGTCGTTACCGAGTTGCAAAAGTATATTCTCGGAGAATTGGGGCATTTCGATAAGACTGTCAATGTGAGTTCATTAAAAATAACGAATGTGGGGAAAAAATTACGGCTGCTAATTAGTTGTTGTGAAGCTTCCAGAGAATCATTCAGCTACAGGACTGGCTGAGGGACTGGTTGATGCCTGGAAAGCTTATAACAACCAAGAGTAAGAATTTTATTCGAAAAAGCCAAAAATTATCAACTTGTCTCTCAATTTTCCCTCTCTCCAGGGCAGTGATTTTATTCGTTGTTGAAGAGATAACCTGCAACATTTGTGACCAGAAAGCTTTGGAAATAGGGATTCGACGGAGAAATCCTAGGATCAGAGTCATCCGTAGGACTTTTAAATATTTAATCGAAAATGCTCAGCTTCGGCCCAATAAGGAATTGATAGTGTGAGTTGTTTTACTCCTTGCGATTATTCTCTTTCTATTCAAAATTAAAACGTTTCATTAATAAAATAAAAATATTCCATAATTAAATGAATGATTATATATACGCAATATGATTATTTAATGTTTTTCCGAAGTGGAAATGCAGTTTTAATTGATGAAGAACGAGTGAAGACGAATGCAAATACGAACAGATTTCACTTAATTCCATTAATTTTATTGCAGGGAAAATAATTTAGTATCAGTCGTGTATTATCGAACTGGTTACGAGACATCTGCCTATCCCACAGACAGAGAATGGGAGTTGAGACTTCTGATCGAACGATCTCGTGCCATCAAATGCCCCTCCATCCAGTACCACCTAGCTGGTACGAAGAAAGTTAGTCTTTACCTCAATTCGTTTGATTTTTCACCGACAATTTATTCATGAATTTTTTCTCATATTCTTCATCATATTCTTCATATTTTCATCAATTTTCAGGTCCAACAAGTTCTAGCGCAACCAGGGGTTCTGAGGAGATTTCTGTGTGAAAGTGAAGTATCGAAGGTTCAAGATGCCTTCGTAGGACTTTATTCACTTGATTTCGTAAGTTTTCCATGCATTCCTCTTCATTCCAACCATCAGAATATCTTAATGCACTTTTTACAAATTAATATTCTATTAGACATCTGAAATTTCTGCAATTTTTCTTCCATTTACCCATCAACAGAAATTTTTCTTGACACGATTTAATCGATTAAAATTTTTTATTTCATGTCTTTGACGTTAAAAATTATTATAACTATTTATTATTATTATTATTAGTGTATCATTATTGTTCAGAATTATTTTTATTGATTTCTCACGTGCACATTTGCACGGTTGTTTTTTTTTTCAGATAACCAAATTCAAAAAGAATTGAAAAAAATTAATATAATCATTTTTTATAAGTATTTTGACCTGATTCTTTTTAGGATAAGCTCGGAGATGAAGCTATGGAGATGGGTCTCGCGAATCCTGAAAAGTACGTTTTGAAGCCACAACGTGAAGGGGGTGGTAACAATGTATATGGCCTTGATGTAAAGTCAAAACTAGAAGCCATGAGGAACTCGAAGGAGCGAACAGCTTGGATCCTTATGGAACTGATAAAAACTCCAATCCACAGAAATTACCTCATCTCTCCAAACATCCCGAAACCCTCACTTCAGGATTTTGTCTCCGAATTGGGCATTTACGGCGTCATCCTCGGGTCCGTCAAACCTTTACCATTTTATTTTAGTCTGAAGAGTTAACGTGAATAATTAATTATTACAAAAAAAATCTATCGAGAAATCTCACGTTTTCTCGGAAGAATCTGTTTAATTCGTGTTTTTTGTACTTCTATTTTTATTCATTCATTGCACTGTCATTGGATGTCATTAGATTCTGATGATTTCTTTTTTCATCGAGTTCAACAGAGACTTGACTGAATTTTTACAGAAAAATTTATAGTGTTCTACTGAATTTTTTCACACGAATTCTATTTCTCATTTTATAGAGATGACAATGAAATCAGGGTGAACAAACAAGTTGGCCACGTGATACGAACAAAACCCCTGGGAGAGGACGAAGGGGGAATAATTGCTGGAGCTGGAGCCCTGGATTCTCCCTATTTATTATAAATGTTTTTGTATTTTTTAACTTGACCTAATGGAGCACTAAATCAAAATATATTATAATCGTGTTGAGGATTCGATTGTTTTTTCGTTGATGCAGAAAAAATAGAAAGAGAAAGGAGAGATGATTTGATCGTAGGAATACTTTCGGGAGTCCTTCATAAATCAGTTCCTAATTTATTCCTCTCCTCCCAGGTATTACGAAATTATATAAAAAATTGTAATCCAATGCCCAAATCTCTCTTCTCCAACATCCACTTGCACAATACCTTCTAGATCACTTCACACCATCTCTCCATAAAACTCTTTTTATTTACACATCTAAACTTACATAATTTTGGTACATAAAATATACAATCGAGGTGCAAAATTTCCGCAATGGAATTACGCAATTCAACACCTGAATATTCCCTACTAACTCCAAACAATTGCTCAACTCTTTAACAACTGGATTGTTGGTTCATCTTATGCAGAAATTTTCTGCAGAAAAACTTAGCATTTTCTAAAAACTGCTATTTGTCATGCGTCAATTCTATTAAAAATCATTTCGTGACATTTTATTACGAAAAATTCACTATAAAAAATTTCCTGGATTCTAATTCTCGTCTAAATCCCCATAAATTTTCCGACTTGATCCCCTAATGAGCTGGAAGAGCAACAAAAATGATAAAATAAATTTATCTAGATGAATCCGTTTAAAATGCCCAATAAATAAAATCCCTTTTTTTTTATATCCCAAGATTTTTTCTACTAATTTCGATTGTGCCGCGATGAAATCCTGTGCTCTCGTCCCAAAAAAAAAACCGAAACAAAAAAAAGGTTTTGGAGATGTTCAGCTTTTTCTTCTCTCAATTTTAACAGAAATCGGCTCGACAGGTTTGAGCATGACATCAGCCTTGAGTTTAATGTCCTCGATCTCCACGATTCGATCTTTTTTAATGACGTAGTGCCTGAGAACAGTAGCAATAAGTGTCTTCATCGCCATCATGGCATACCTCACCCCAATGCAGTTCCTGGGTCCAGCACTGAAGGGTACAAAGGAGTAAGGATGACGTTTGGCAACTTCTTCGGGTAAAAACCTGTCAGGATCGAACTTGAGAGGTTCAGGCCAGTATTTTTCATTCCTGTGCATCTTGAGGATACCGATGACCACTGAGGAGTCCCTGGGGAGCACCTGATCCCCGATGTCCAGGTCCTCGCTGACATGCCTGACGAGGACAGGACCCACGGGGAAGAGTCTCAGAGTTTCTTTGATCGTTCTCTCCAGGTATTCCATTTTGTGGAGATCCTCGTGAGTTATAGTTGTCTCGTTGTTGATGTTGTCCCCGTAGATGGTAACGAGCTCCTGGTAGCAACGCTCCTGAACATCTGGAAAATTCCCCAGCATCAGCATCACGAAGGCATTCACTGAGGCTGTCGTGTCATTTCCAGCGATCATCATCGTGTCCACCTCCTCTCGTAGCTCTTCATCGGTGAATTTTGTACCCTCGTGGGACAGCTCCATCAGGAAGTCCAGGAATGCCTTTCGGGGCTTTGTGTTCTCGATTATTTGGTGGCCGCTCTCCATCTCCTGCTTCTTCTTTTTTATCACCTGGGGATTAAGCGTTTTAGAATTTTGTATTTCTGAGGAAATTCGATAGGGCGCGAATTTTTAAGTGACAGGAAACTAAATTCTCAGGAAATTCTGTTTGAATTCTCCGGATCTCTGAATTTTTAGTCTGGTTCCATGGGAATCACCAGAAAATTATAAAATATCAGACTCCAAAGTAAATAAAAATGGAATTACTAATTGCAAGAAATGACTTACATCATTAGTCAGTCCGTGTAAATACTCGATGCACTTTCGCTGATCCTTTCCTAATTGCGTATTATTGAAAATAATATCAGGATGCAGCCAGACTTTAAACATCCTGGTGTAAAAGATTTCAAAAATTTTCTTGGCCGATTCGACGTACGTTGGATCGCCTTCCGTTTGTGCCTTCATCGTCACCCCCATTGCAGTTTCGCAGATGATGTCAAGGGTGCACAGGGAGATGTAATTGAAAACGTCGAACTCGTCCCCATCGATCTCCACTTTCATTTGTCGGACCATTATGTCAGACTGCTGGGCGAAAACTTCTACGAAGGACTCTAGGATCCTGGGGTTAAAGGTCGGAAGAATCAACTTCCTATGGACTCGCCACTTCGACGCTGAAACATCCAGGAAATTAAACTCTCCACAATCTAATTGATTTCTATAACATTGTACGACTTCTGGTACTTTAATTGAATTCAAACTCTTTTATTTATAAAAAATACAAATTCTTAAAGAATAATTAGAAGGAAAATAAAAATGAAAATTTCGATGATGAACGAGAAATAAAGATAATAAAAAAATTGAAACCATGAGGAAATGAAAAATTTAACGAGTCATTGATATGCAGGAAAAAATAATCAAATAAATAAATAAAGATGGAAGAAAATGATAAAAATGAAAATTGAATGATAAAAAAATTGAAGAAAATTAAACTAATGGAAAAATGTTAAATTTTGAAGGATAAAAAAATTTTGGAATGGCAAGAGAATAATTACTGTAACGAGAGTCGTCTATTTACGTATGATTCATGAGTTCGTGTGGGGCATGGCGAGATGTATATTTTCCGGTATTACCTCTCACCATTTGACTCTTTGATGCTTGGCACGCACATACGTATAATAAAGCACCTCGGGTGGCTCTCTGGCCCCCACAGTTGTAATAGAGCTACTTGTACCTGAGGCACGTATCAACAGTACTTAATAGTACCTCAACAATGATAAAAATTAATATGACTGGGGGAGGAAAATTCACCTGGTGCCGTAAATAATCCCGTTCCCAGCCAAGGACGTGCGAATTTGTAGAGATCCTCTTTCTCGATGGTCTTTGGACTCGTGAAGACTATCTGGTAATGTAAAAATAAATAGAAAATTATAAATAAAAATATTCACATAAACAAAACCTGAAAATTGTTGTTTTACATTTTAATTTGCACATTACATTTTACAATTGAAATATTAAATCGTATTTTTTTCGTTAAATCTGATCAATGAATCTGAAAGATCAATGTATTTTAGTTGATTAATTAAAAAATATATATTGTGATTGAATATTTGTTATAATAGCGCATAAAAAAACTTGGATTTTAACCAAAATTGAAAGGAGAATCAATAACAAGTGCAAATATATCGATTAAACAAATAAATTGTGAGAAATCCATTGATTTTTCGGTGAATTAATGAACTTCAGGATGAAAGTGAAAATTGACGATTGGAGTTTACAGTAATAAATACTCTCGTGAACTATTATGAAGTAGGAAGAGAAATTTCTGAGTGTTTTTGCGTGTCGTCGGGTTTCTCTTTGGTGTTCAGCGTTTCGCGTCATTTTATTACGATTATCCAATTGATTTTTAATATTGTTATTACCTTCAGCTGCTCGGGCTCGCAAACTCCGAAGAATAGCCGACTTCCAAGCCAGAATCGCAGGGGCGACGGATACATGTCATATAATTCTGTTGTTTTTTTTAATATATCTGAAAATATCAGGATATATTTTAATCAAAAGTCATTTATTATAATTTATATTAATGGATTCCAATTTGTTTAGTTTTAATTATTGCCCTGAAATCAATTTATTCATCTGCTGTTATTTTTTACACTTTATAATAATAAATATATAATAATAAATGTATAATAATAAATAATATATAAACAATAATAAATAAATGAAAAGTGGGGTAGAATTTATATGACAATGTAAGATATTTTATTTCTAATTTTATGGCGATAATATAACAATATAGTTATAACACTGTATGGTAAGAATTTTATTTTGGTTTATTGAATATTTTTGAATTTTTTAATAATATAAAAAAATATGAAAAATGCAGATTTCATGATAATAACTCAATTAAAGTGAAGGCACCTGTATATAATGGGTATTATTCGTAGTCCGGAGAAAAATCAGAAAGCCCGAAAAAATGGTAATGGGGGTACATAAAATTTTTACACCCTCTTGAAGCGAAAAATTTCATAAAGATAGCGTCAACTCACCCTCGGTACTTCCCACAAAGGCATGAGCATTGCCAATAAACGGAAGTGCCGGTGGTCCTGGAAATTTAGCAGCGGCTCGATAAAGTCGTATCTTCTTCAGATAAAAAACTAACAAACTAAAAAGCCCCAAAACTCCGATTGTCTTGATGAGCAGGAGTGCAACAGCCATACTGAGATAATAGTGTCACATAAAATGTTAGCGATGAAATGGATTTGCTACACCTTCGAATTGCTGTTGACGACTGTGTGAATTTCACGCGGGTCTCCGCCTTATCCCCTGTTCTCCATCGCACTACGTGACGAACCACCAGAGGCAACTCCCAACGTGGAGGACTCCGATGACCTTTCCACATGTCTCCAATTAATCCTTTTTCCGAGATTTATTTTTTTCACCAAGGCCACCAAATCCTGCAGATACCATTTTTTATTCCTTTCATTCTCTTCATTCTCAATTATATTAATTAATAATTATGATATCAATTGATAATATTAATTGATAATATTATTTATTATTATTCATTTCATTTCACTTCAACACCTATAATACCATCTCATTTTTACCGCTTTCTAATTTTTCTCTTTTATTTGTTATTACATTATTATTATTAGTGATTAAAAAAATCGATTCTGAAGTTGTTCAGGAATTTTGGAAATTACTTGTTTTTTCATTTTCTTTTGATTATCTTCCCTTGTATTTTTATTATTTCCTCACAATGGACTCATATTATGATTATAATATTTACTTTTTTTTATTTGACGCATGTTTTCCATTGGATCTTAATAAGTTTGTTTAAAAATTATTCATGCATATATTGTTAATATCATTAAGTAACTATGGAAATATATTTCATATTATATATAAATCAGCATGTGTACATATTATATGTGTATAATATATAATCTGTCTTCGTTTATGTATTGTCGCATAATTTTTAGAGGATAAATATTTAAATAATTTTAACAAATCAAGAGTACGACGTTCGAACAATCTGGATTCACTTCCTTCATGATCATTGAGAAGGATTGCTCAATAAATAATTTATTTATTAATATATTCCTATGACGAATGGCTGTATCTCTAGGAAAGTATTGTGATGACACCATGGAGATTTTTGATAGACGCAAATGACGAGAAAATATTTCCGTATGAAATCTGATGAATGAGTCCTATTTTTTGAGTGAAACATCGTCAACTGGGGTCCTATTGGTTAAAATTATTTAGATATTTATCTTCTAAAAATTATGTGACATAAACGAAGACAGATTATATATTATACACATATAATATGTACACATGCTGATTTATATATATGAAATATATTTCCATAGTTAAATCATGATATTAACAATATATGTATGAATAATTTTTAAACAAACCTATTAAGATCCAACGGAAAACAATGAATGAATTTAAAAAATTACCAAAACATGAAAACATGTTTAGAAAATAAATTACCCTTGATAATGGGTTGAAAACAGCTTCTAATACAAAAACAAAAAACAATGAATGAAGTAAAAAATTACCAAAAAATGAAAACATGTTTAGAAAATAAATTACCCTTGATAATGGGTTGAAAACAGCTTCTAATACAATTAACATATGCAATGGCGATCAATAAATGACAGGGTCAGACTTTAGAAAAAGTAGGATAAACACCTACTTTTTACTAAGTCCAAACCTGTTATTTATGGATGGTCATTGCATATGATAATTGTATTAGGAGCTGTTTTCTACATATTATGAATGGCAATTTAGTTATGAATATTCTTTCTGATGGTAAATTTATTTTTTGTGGTCCTAGTTCTTGTGAAATCATTTAGGCAGTAAGTACATCAGATTTTATTTCAGTTATTATCATTTGGGTTCCATTATACAATCCATTATCGCTATAAATATTTCACAGAAGCACCACAAGACAATATTTCTCTTGGCATTAATTTATGTAGTATGTTATAAATATTTGGCAGGAACTGTTGTTTTTTTTTCGTCCATGGTTAATAATTACTTTATATTTACTTTATAATATTTCTTCCAGGAATTCTATTCCATTTCCATCAGAATTTTACGAATTATTCTATCAGAATTGTAGACAATTATTATTAAAATGATAACGATTTTGGTTTTATTGCACTGGATGTGATTAAAAAATTGAACTAATCCATCAATGGAGATTAATTTTCTGAGACACGTGGGACTCCAAGGACGACGAATTCCCCGAGACTTCCAAAAAATGGGAGACGAGCCCGAGGAATTCATAAAGAAATCAGAACTCCCGTCAGTTTAATAGACTCGAATAATAAATTTTATTCTCCAAGATTCAACAGTTCAATACAAAAAACCACTGGAGTAAAAATATAATTTTTTGAAATACAATCTATTAATAAAATAAATTGAAATTCCTATTGAACATGAAATTCCATTCAATAGAAAATTCCATTGTTTATTTTCTTAATTCTACGGGTGATTGTACAATTTTGGAGAGGAATTGCCTTCGGAATAATGGAAATGAGCCCCAGGAATTCATTAAGAGCCCACAACTCCTCTCAATAGACTCGAATAATAATTTTTATTCTGGACGATTCGACGGTTCAATACAGAAGAATATCATTTCCTAAACACAATTCGCATGCGTACGTGATAATTTTCAGTTATGTACCGGCAAAATAACGTAGAAGGACATTGCTATAAACTTGGAGCTGTAAATCCCCCATCAAAGAAATCCATTGTACGAATACATGAGCTATGGCGGATAAAAAAAAATATAAATTGTAAACCGGTTCTGCCAAAATTGCGAGGATTCGCTTTGGACTGTGAACCTAAAATTTGGAGTTACATTCACTTCTACCTAACTCCGCATAAATAATTCCATATATACAAAACATCTAGTGGATGACATAAAAATACGACGAACACATTATATAACATTCGCTGTATCTTGTAATTTTTACTTCATTTTTTACGCCAGTCTCTTATCAATTGTTTAAATATCTCGTTCGGGAGTAGCTTTAGAGAAAAAAAATTCACTTGTTACTGAGATATTGTAGAGATAATACGAAAGATATAATTTAACAGAAAAACTTTGGGTTTTCTTTAAAGAATTTTATTCAGTTCAGTTGTGAAATAGTAAAATGGGATCAGTATAATTTTACGTTTGTCATAAATACGGATACAACTAGGAAACCATTGATTTAAGGAAAAAATATGAGAAGGCATTTTTTGTAGGAAAATTTTAACAGCTACAAAAAAGGTCTTGGTTTTTTTTTTAAATTCGTCGGTTTTGAGATAAAGTTGTGATGAAGTTGAATGGAATTTTCCTTATTAAATACTGAATGTTTATTGCAGCTATGAGAAATGTTAGAAAACCGAAAATAAAAACGGGATAGAAAAAGCGTGAAAAATTATTTCTATTGGAAAATAAAAATTCTGACTGCATTCTATCAACAATTACTTATTGTTAAATCAAATTCCAATGTTTTAGTGGAAATTGAATAAGATTTCTTAGAGAAAACCCTCGGTTTTTCATAAAATTTTCCGACGTGTCGTGACTAATCAGTACAAAACTCGCTAATAGCTAAATAAAATTACAATAACCACACGCGCCAATAAATTGAACATTATCCCACATTACGACACGCATTATCCCCCCAACAACTTGATCATTCATTATTACGCGGGTGTAATACCCCTATTATCACAATTTCAAGTTTACAACTAAAGCCCCCGTGCAATTTAAATTCTAAAATAGCCTCAATCGTAAATTCTACGGCTTGATCAAACGCGTTTTGTAGCCAGTATCATCGTTGATCAATTCAACGTCGGATTGATCGGAATTTATCAGCTCGAGGGATTGTTTGGAGTTTGTTTTTGGTATTGATGGGACATGAGCCTTTGTATGAATACTCAGTGGATTCTCATACTCGTGCTCGCCTGGAGGAATTATCGGCAGGATGTAATCACTCGTTATTCCTGGGTCAGTCCCGAATGATGGATTTTGGAAACGAATTCTAAAACATGAAATTACGTCATTTGATTCATTCGGGATTTCATTACGTCTTATTTTTTTCTCCTGCGTCTGTTTTGTTGTTGAGATGACGTGTGAATAATTATTATGACGCAAATCATTCATTTTAGAGAATATTTTTAGAGAATATTTTTATGATTCATCACTAATTTCTGGAAATGTTCAATGAATCTAATGATTAAAAGAAATAAGATTGACATTAAAATTGAAAAATCTAGAACATGAGATTGTAAATTAATTCAACAGTGATGGAATTTGAATTAATGGTTTTTCAGAAATGAATGTGAAAGAAAATCGAAATTCTCCTGCAATAAGAAGATTAATTAATTAATTAATTAATTGAATGAAAACGGAAATAACTTTAAGGCCCGGATGGACTGTCTGGAAAAGATAATTTACTCCAAAATTGGGACTTCTAATTACTCCGTCAATTAATCGTTTTTTCCGATAATTGTTAGCTAACGGCCTAGTTGTTGACAACCGCTAAAACGCTAGCTAACAATTATTGAAAAAAACGATGAATTGCCAAAGTAATTAGGAATCCGAATTTCGGAGTAAATTATCTTTTCTAGATAATCCAACGGAGCCTTAACGTAAAATTAATTGATGAAAGTAATAGTAGATTTTGAACAATTGGAAATGGAATAAAATTATGCATTGAAATAATTGATTTGTTAGGGTACATTACCTCAAATCGTACTTGTTACTAATCTCAGTCTTATGTTTCTGGTAATACCAATAACCAGAAAGCATGGCAATCCCTAGAACAACCATGACGATGATTCCCGTAAGAGGTCCAGCCTCTCTCTCAGTTTTCGCCAATCCTTCATTTTTCCTCATGAGGAGAGAATACGAATCAAACCTGATGTCCGGAATGTCGGAATATGGGCATGCGCTATCTGGATCTTGTTCCGAGCCATCGTGACAGATGCATCGGGGAATCCCCTGTCTCTGAATGCACATATAATCGCAGCTGTGACTCTCGCAGGCGTTGATGCCTGAGGGAAGAGCCAAAAACCATGAGGTACATTAGCATAACTAGATCCACAAGCATAGAAACGAGAATATCCATGAATAATCATGAAACTGTTTCGAAAATTCAAAGTTATCGCTCTCCCCCGGGCTCCCCAGTGAGCTAACGAAATACGAAACAATAAATCGTTTGCAGATATTACAGATAATCGACCAGAACTAGATTAATAAATTGACAAAGTCAATTTTAAAAAAAACTAATGGTCGAGAATTTTTGTGATTTATTTTAAAAATTTTTAAATTCGAAAATGAACACAATGAAAGAATGATTTATAATGTGTATGTAAACATTCCAGATTAGGACGTGAGGGGGGGGAGGATTTCTTTTCATTTCAGGATTTTTGCTCCTTTGGAGAGTTTTATTACCACCTACCAACGGAATAAATTAACCGTTAGTTGATACACGAATTGGCGAGAAAAATTGAGATTTTTCAAAATCCAAAAATATTAAAAGTGTCTTTTGGCATGGAAAAATTCTAAATCAGCCAGTGGTCAACAATTTCAAAAACATTTCGACTTACCAACGGGTTGTCTCGACTGATGTGAAATAACAAAGAGTCCTTCGACATTATTACTCTTGACAGGCACCTGCTGACACCTCCTCTCCCCATTGAGTAAACACTTCTGCATGATTCCGGATGTGCCAATGAGCCAAAAAACCGCATCCTCAAAGACATTGATGCCGACCGGCTGATAAACCTGATCCCTCATGAAGACCTCCCTCTCCTTTCCCTCGAGGTTCGCCCTCTCGACAACGTGTAGAGCAGCATCAACCCAGTAGATCGTTCCCCTCTCATGATCAATAGTTATCCCCGAGACAACGCCAAGATCATCACTAACGATATTCCTGGGATTATCCCCATTGAGATCACTCCTCCATATCTCACTGGTGGGTTTATCCAAATCAACGAAAGTCGTCTGCCCCCAGAATACGAATCCATTCTTGGGATCGACAGCCAGCGACAGGACAGTTCCAGGATTTTCAAGCTTCACAATGACAGCGCACTTTGTCTGATTGACATTGCAGGCCTTAATGGCCTCAGGCTTCTCAGTATCGAAGAAATAAACATTATCAGTCATCCAGTCAACAGCGAGAGCTCTGGGTCTACCGATATTCGCGATCCTGTGGTGCTCTGTGCTCCGAAAATTGAACTCATGAATGCTTCCAAGTAGCTCCGAACTCCAGTAAATCGACTCCTTCCCCACATTAACATCTAACCCAGTGATCTGGATCTCTGGTTGCCTGTGAACAACTTCGATTACCTCAAGATTCACTGGAATGCGCCTGATGTCGTCCCGAGTAGCTGTTATGAGCTCCATCGAGCTATTGACGACCTTGCAGGTGGTCCTGTCTAACCTGAGGACGTATCCAGGGAAGCAGCTGCACTCGTACGAGCCGACGATGTTATGACAGACCTGAGAACACACGTTGTTCTTGCACTCGTCGACATCCTGGCAGCTTCTGCCATCAGTGTCGAGAGTGAATCCCTCCCTGCACCAGCAAAGGGGTCCAGTTGGTGTTCTTTGACAGACGTGTTCGCACGTATTCTCGCTGGAACAGCTGGTGGCACAGCCATCACCTTCATCAGAGCTGTCGAAGCAGTCGTTGAGTCCGTCGCAGACATACTCCCACCGGAGGCACCTGCCACTGACGTTGCACTTGAATTCAGGACAGGGAGTCTCATCCTTCTGGACACTCGACCCCCAGTGCTTGTGCACGTCGCAGCCCTTCTCGTCCGAATTATCCCCACAGTCGTCCTGATCGTCGCACATCCAGAACTTTGGTATGCACTTGAGATTGCTACAAGCAAACTCATCCCCAGAGCAGTGGCTGCAGTGGTGCTCGTCGTCGTTCTTCGGACAGTCCATCTCCCCGTCGCACCTTTTATTCATGGGAATGCACTGACCACTACCTATACACGTATATTTATTTGTTCCACAGCTGCGAGCTACCGAAGACTCTCTCCGGCAGTTCATCTCGTCACTCGAGTCTTCGCAGTCGTCTACAGCATTGCAGATCAATTTTGCATCAATGCACTTTTGATTCTGACACGTGAACATAGCCTTGGGACATGTTTTCCTTGTGCACTTGCTACTCTCGTCGGCGCCGTCATCGCAATCCTTTTGACCATCACACTCCCACGATCCTGGGATACAGAGACCGGAAGGACATCTGAATGAAAAGCTATCACAGGTTCTTGCAGCGCAGTTGACCTCGTCGGAAGAATCGAAACACTGGGCTATTCCGTCGCAGATCTTGTACGAGGGGATGCACTTGGACGAGTCCCTGCACTGGAATTCGTCGACGGTGCAAGCCTTCGAGGATATGCAGTGCTTTTCATCTTCTCCATCGTGGCAATCGTCAATGCCATTACACAGTTTTGTGTTATCGATGCAGGAGTTGTCTGAGCACTTGAACTCGACTTCAGAGCACGTTGTTTCGACAACGCAGGTCTTTTTGTTGCTTGCTAGGATCATCCCTGGAGGGCACTTGCAGATACCAGTCTCTGGAGTATCCACCAGACACAAGTGAGAACAGCCTCCGTTGTTCTCTCGACACATGTGATCACTTCGTCCGGATCGAAGACTCGTCGTAACGAGATGCATCATGTCCACATCCGCGGGGATTTCGAGGGTCAGTCCCTTGTTCCTGGTGAGAATCTTGGAGCTACTAGACCAGAAAATACGTGTGTTGTTCTTTAGCGTCCAGAAGATCTCGTCGTCGAGAATGGCGACGCTGACTGGCTCCACCAGATTCGTGTGAAGAAACTTCTTGTTGGTGCCATCCAGGGACATACAGCCAATTATTCCTGATCCCTGATCCGCCCAGAAGATTCTTCTCGTCTCATGGTCGAAAGCCAGTGTAACCCTCGGCCCCAACAGATGGTCCATGATCTGGATCCGTCTACTGCCTGTCATCGACATTCTGTCGATGTGGCATTTCACGACTGAGCAAAAGGCGACGTACATCGTCGCCAGCTCGGGAATCAGCAGAATCGACGTAGGTTTTTCCAGGAAGTGGAATAGCGTTCTGTTCCAGGTCGACAGACTGGTAATGACGATGGTCTTATGGTCCACGTCAGACCAGTACATATTATTCCCAAAGTAGTCAAACGCCAGGCCCTGAATCACTTCCTGGGTAATACCGAGGAGTCTGACATACACCCCAGATGATGGTGTGAACCTGTTGATCGTTTGGGACTTTTGATCGACGACAAGGATTCCCTCCTGGATGGGATCGTACGCTGCAGCGTCGAAATGATGAAGCGTCTGGTGTCCCTCCATCTCGGGCTTGCCGAGAATCTGGTGATAGTAATCTATGAAGAGCCCTCCAGCAGCGATGATCAGATGATTTGCATCCTTGATTCTCTCGCAGCTCTCACCGTCCTCCCCGAGGGTCTTGTCCGGGCTGCAGGTGCATGTGTAGTTGTGCTGAGCATTCAGAAGACATATCCCTTCACAGGGATTGGCGTTGCAGGGATTGTGAAGATCAGGTTTGAGAACCGAATGGTAAATGTGAATTCCGTAGATCTCGTCTACCTCATGGAGTAGCGTCTTCTCACCCTTCCCCGTGAACTTGTTGCAATATTGGATGCTCTTGGTTTTCCAGTCGCTCCAGAAGAGCCTGTCCTCGAAAACTGCGATGGAGAACGGGTGCGTGGCGATGGTGCGGAGAACTGTTCTGCGACCAGTGCCGTCTAGATGGATTGATTCGATAATATCGACTTTGGCATCCACCCAGTAGAGCCTGGAGTTAGGATAGTCGATGGTGAGGCCGTTGGGCCAGCCGAGGCCCTCAGTAACGATAGGAGCTCTAGAGTGTCCATTCATCTCCGCCCTGGAGATGTGGGGTCTCTCTCCCCAGTCGCTCCAGTACATCTCTCCAGTGGCCGGATGGAGTACAAGTCCTCGGGGCCTATCAATGTCCTCCGTAATAATAACAGCACAATGAGACCCTGAATTCGTGCAGACACCAATTCTCCGGTAAAGACTGTCGGTAAAGTAGATATTCCCAGTAACCCAATCGACTGAGATCTCCTCGGGGATTCCCAGACCCGCTGTGACGATCACTTCAGGTTTTATTCCATCCTCTAAAGCTCGAAAAATCGCTTCATCTCCCATGTGTATGTCAGACCAGTAGATGTACATGGAGTCCAGGGCGACACCTATCACGTGCTGTAAATTCTTGGCGATTGGAAAATATACCTCGTGGGTGGAAAGATAAAAACCTCGGATTTCCGTCCTCGACGAGAAAATGAGGATAGCATCCCCCCGGTCTTTCGAGACCTTGCAGGTGTGTCGGTCCTCCTGGAGATCGTATGACATGTCACAGAGGCAGGAGTAGGTGCCAGGCTCGTTGATGCAGTGGTGATCACAGAGCTCCGGTGACTCCATGCACTCATCAATATCTTGACAGCTGTCATTCACCATACGATATCCTGGAGAACACGTGCAGCTTGGGCCTTTGGGGGTTGGCTGGCAGCTGTGACTGCAGTTCATCGTTTTGCACTTCTGTTCAGCTGCGGTGCAGATGGCGCTGTGCTCATCCGAATTGTCACCACAATCATTGAAGCTGCTGCACGTCAGGTTGAGGGGAATGCAGTGATTGTTGTCGCAGAGGAAGAAACCGTTATCAACGGTGCAGTTCTCCGGGGGATGGACTGGACAATTGAACTCATCCGAATGATCTGGACAATCTGCCTGGCCATCGCACCTCCACTTCTCCTGGATGCAGTAACCATCGGCACAACCAAATTCTCTAGCATTGCAGGTTTTGTTCAGGACACAGCCTGCGTACTCATCGCTCCCGTCGTAGCAGTTGTTCTCGTTGTTGCAGAATTTCGATAAGGGGATGCAGTTGCCGTTTGTGCAGGTGAACTCCTGGGGGGTGCAGCGGTTTGGCTGAGGGGTTGATGGTGAATTTGGGGTTTCGGGACAGGAACGCTCGTCGGAGAAGTCTCCGCAGTCGTTGTCACCGTCGCAGCGGAAAAATGACGCTAGACATCTGCCGTTGTTACATCTGAACCAATCGGGAGACTCGCACGTATCCGAGGCTGTGGAAGGACACAATTTATTTATTGATTTTCAATTGGTTAATGTTATTTATGCATTTTAAAACTATTTGTACTGTAATCAGAGTCTTGGAGATTTTTAATTTTCAGCATTTTTCAATATTTAAGCAAAGACACACAAATAAATTAAAAATTCTAGTTAAATTAAGTGAGATAAAAAAAATTAATTAATTAATTGAACTTATCGTTGATTTTTACAGAATCTACTTGTTTCTAGCGAATCAATGATTTAGGAATTCAAGACAAATCGCCAATTTTGAATAATTAAATGTCTTCATTATTCTATCAAATTAATTTCCCTGCGATTATCTTTAGCGAACCGGATATTAAATTGGGAAAAATACAGGGATTGGAATTTCATCGATACTTTTCCAATTATTTTAATACTCACATATCGCTTGATAATGTAAACACAGAAGTACAGAAGTAAATAATAAGTGGATCCTTGCCATCGCCTGTGAATCAAACGCAAAAATAAATCTCGGATTAATTCAGTTAAAATGAAACTGTTGAATTATTTACACTCGCCAGTTCATAGTCAATTTTCATTAAATAACAATATTGATATCTAAAATAATTAATAATATCGCAGTAACCATAAGTCATTAATTAATTAATTAATTAACAGTGTTATTGTTACGTTCGTTAATCTTTTTCTTATTTCATAGAAATTTTGACAAAAATGAAAAGTCACTGGACAGCTCGAGAAGCTTTTATTTTTGTCCCATTTTTTAGTGTTTTTTAAAGATTTTATTTTCTTTTTTGGTTAAAATAAATTTTACCGGTTTCTAGTGTTGAATTCTGGAAATATTTCCACCGTGTGAAATGTTTTCGGTGTGACAGGAGACAGCGAGGAAAAATAATGAATTTATCTGCAAGTCTAGGAATAGCAACGCCTACGATTTCATGTAAAGAGTAATTAAATATAGGCTATCGCAATTTTTTTGGCAACCCACGGATCGCACCCACGATCGGTTGAACGTCCTACGAGATTCACGCAATCAGTTGTAATTATTTCCGGCGAAATAAAGCGAAAAGAAGCGAAAAGTCTTCAATATTTCGACAATTTTCGCAGCTCCGGCGTTTAATCAATTTTACTCTATCCAAATAAAATTGATCAATGCAGTAAATAATTATCGCCAGTCAAAATGAAATCAACAATGACAAAATGACAATGACAAAATAGAGTACAATGCAAAAAATTGTTAATTAATTTCAATTAACGAGAAATCATTCTTTAATAAGAAAAAAAAACATTAACTTATTTCACGGAAGCGAGAGATCCCATTGTTTTTTCTTATTCGTTAATTAATGTGACGAAAATCTATTTTGATTTGAAGAATTTATGAATTGTTTATCGAAATTATTTATTATCACTGAACTAGAATTACCAAAGCTCCAGAATTTCAAAACATTTTCCGGAGAGAAAGATTGAGTGAAAATCGGGAAATCTAGGAAATCTATATTTTTATTTCCATTCCAAAATTGATAGAAGATTGCTTGATCTTATTAATTGATGTTTAATGAGAGGATTACCCAATTTCCCTTTTTTCTTAATTTTTTAAATTTTGATGATTATTTCTTCCTGAGTAATTGGAGATCGATTAATTAATATTTGGGAACAGATGAATGAGTGATTTGGAGAGCTCACCGATAACGGCAAAAACGAAGGGCTCTCAAGGACTAGAAAAGATACTTCTTCTTGAATCACTGGATGTTGGATATCCGTCGAGCTTCAGCAGAGAACGATAACTGAAGAGAATTCCCCTCGACACTGGACAATGGGCCTTAGAGTTTCGGATGCCGGAAATGTTTAACACATTTGTCCCGTCAATTCTACTTGTAAATAGGATCATTTGCTCAACCGAATTACTCTAAACTAGCCAACAATCTGCTATTCCATAAACACTTTTTTTCAATAATTCTATTTGTAATTTACTTAAACTAGGAGAATCTACCAATCGCTTATTTGATTATGGCTTTTTAACAATTTTATTATTTATCTACATTTATATTATATTATTTAATTATACGTTTATATATTTGTTGTTTATTCAATTTATTTAGGAACAATTCCATAAATATTTGTTTATATAATTGACGAAAAATTATTTAAAGGGCAAATCTGCGGGATTTATTTATGTCTGAATTTATTTACTTAAACTAGGAGAATCTACCTATCGCTTATTTGATTATGCCTTTTTAACAATCTTATTATTTATCTACATTTATATTATATTATTTAATTATACGTTTATATATTTGTTGTTTATTCAATTTATTTAGGAACAATTCCATAAATATTTGTTTATATAATTGACGAAAAATTATTTAAAGGGCAAATCTGCGGGATTTATTTATGTCTGAATTTATTTGGTTATTTTATTAGTTACATTTTTATTAGATTATTTAATTATGTGGCGATATGTTTGTTGTAAAATACTATGGATTTTCAGTTTGTGGATTTCAAGAAGAGTCTTTATTACAGAGTTGGATATTGAGACTTGGAATTTCTTTTAATCGATTTCGTAATCCTCAGAATATTTTTCCTGGTGAATTCGAAGAAATTGCGGCAATCGAATATTGAGTTGAAATTTTTTCTACAAAAATTTCTGGTATCTCATTACGGAGAGCAAATAAAAGAACATTAAAGAAAATTTTGTAAATTAATTGATCAGTATTTGAATAACAAATCGATGGATTGTGGAAAATAGAGTTATAATTTCAAAGATAAAAACAAAACGACAATTTATGATAGTCTCTCGTAAAAAAAATACCAAAAATCCCCGAAATGCAATTTCTAAACAGAATTTCAAGAGGACTTAAAAGAAATTTCTCTAGACATTCACTAAATATTAATAAGAAATTCCGTTTTCCACAACTTGCTATTATAATTTCTTTTTGCGAACTATAATTTGTCCCTTCCAGGAAATAGAGTAAAATGAAATGAATAATAAAAAGACAGGTCTGATCCAGTACTTGACCCTTCAACAAAAAGTAATTGCAATTCAATAATACGAATGCCCAGGGGAGCAATTGCTGAATTTGTAATTACCGGCGTCACTTTATGTGCGAAATGTGAAAAAGGCACGTCAGTTTAAAAAGTGAAATACCAGGAGGAGTGATTCAGAGATGATTTGTTTTTTTCGTTGGTTCCGCTCATTGTGGAGGGGACAATTCAATCGGCACTCAAGTGATGATAATTATCAGTGGGAAATGGCATTCACCCGTTGTTTTTTCAACACCATTGGTGTCTGGCCACGAGCCGGAAGAGCAAACCGATTGAGATTTATAATTACTGTTGCAATACTGATTGCCTTCATCGATGCCCCCCAATTTTTCAGACTGTGCTTCAGTGAAAACGCATATCAGCGGTACTACGGTTGGAATTACTTGATCACCAATGCTATTACCACCGGTCTTGTATCCATTCTTTGCAGCAATTGTCAGGTTCTCCAGTCCATACTGGATGAAATACGAGAAAACTGGAGGAGTCATGATTTTCCTGAGGACAAAAAAGTCATGCATCAACATGGGCAGCTTTCGAGAAACATTTCAGTGATTACCATCCTAGTTCACTTCTATGTCAACACTAGTATGTACATTGATTGAAGTTTGTTGAAATTTCTGGTCTAATGTCATCTAAATTTTTTATTATGTGATTTTCAATTCAATTTTTAATGAAAACTTTCGGTAAAACTCTTTCGGGTATTTTGGAAATTCAAGAATTTGGGTTTTTTTTGTGAATATTTATCGATTTTTTAACAATCTTCGAATTTTCAATTATGTGATTTTTAATTCAATTTTAATTGAAAATGTTTACGAGAATCCTCACTTAGTTGGAGAATAGAAGAGGGCATTTTCGCATTTAACATTCATTTTTTCAATAACAATTTGAATTTCCAGATTTATCTTGAAAGCACAATTGAATTTTCAGTAAATTATTTGAAATTCTTTAAACTTTCAATTTCAATTTCACCTGAACTTTCAATTGTGGGAATTTCACTTTCATCTTGAAAATTTCCGAAAATTTGATTTTTAGTATTGAACAATAATCAATTTTTGGATGAAATCATAATTTTCAGGGTGACAATTGACTATTAATTAAATCCAATTCAATTTTCAATTGACTAAAAATTCGGAGAATTTCCCGATAGATTAAATATAAGACCAAAACATTGAGAATCATTTCTATTATATGAGAAATTAACTGATTCATCAACGGACAATTTCCCGAAATTTCGATGCAATATCTTCCGGGAATTGATTTTTTTTTCAGACGGAGAATTATCGTTTCTATTCGCAGCATTTGCTAGAGGGGAACCGGCTGAAGTATTGTCAGATTTTTATTGGTACCCATTTCCCTTGACCAATCCACTTGTCTTGGTTTTATGTCACGTCTCGGTGTGGGCAAGTTATTTCTTGGTCGCAATTATATTTACGGCAATTGACATATGCGCCGCTGTGCTTATCCTGCACACTTGCGGACAATTAATTATCCTGGGACTTAGAATGGAGAGATATGAAGGAAAAATTCGTCACTCGTCAGGAAACGAAATCCTGACGGACTGCAGTTGTCTGAAATGCATTGTCTATTCTCACGTGAAAATCAGCAATTTTGTCAAGAGAATCAATATCTATTTTCGGATAGTCTATTTCTTGTTTTTTTTTCATGCACTAGTCGCTCTATGCTGGCTGGGATTTTTAGTTTCGCAGGTGAAAAACTACCACCACACACCAAAAATACATTTTAATACATTTCCAGGATGAAATACATCCTTTGCGGCCATTTTCTGTACATCACTCCGTGCAGTAAATGGCGCTGGCGCATGCGCTTTTCGCAGTTTGCGCATACCTCAATGTAAAATTCTGTACGAAACTCATGCGGTATGAATTTTGTGATGAGTATGATTAAAAAATTGTTCATACCATAAATGAATTCGATCCTAGAAATGTATTTTTTTTCTCAGGAACGATCAAGAGGGATTTTCTTTGATTTTTTCTGTTTACTTTTTAGGCAGTTGCGGCCAATAATTACGAAAATGTGTCTATGGACGGCCTCTGGAACATACTTATGGCTTTGAAAATGTTTTTGTACTGCTGGTTGGTAGAAACGTGTCAAGAAAAAAGTAATGCCCTGGGGGACATTGTGTATTCTAACGAGTGGATGGCTAAAGATCGAAAAGGTTCTCGAGATTTGCTCTTCATCATTCGATATTCGAGAGTTCCTCTGAAAATCACAGCTGGCAACCACTACGTACTGTCTCTGGAGCTCTTCAGAAAGGTCAATAGGTCAACATCTTGACTATTGGCAGCAACAATATAGGATTTGTATCACCTTACTGAATTTCTGTTACAGTTTGTGCTGACAGCGTTCTCTTATTTATCAGCAGTCATAACTATCGCCTCGAAAAAACGAATTCAATCCTAGATAGGGATTTGCACTCAAGGAATAGGCGGCAAACTCTTTCCTCTTTTTAATCAGTGAAGACAACCTCTTCTCGCTTTTGTCAGCAAAAGAAATGCTCAAAGAATTTCTCATGTTTTTTCTACGAAGTTATCCTGGCATGTGACAGCACGATTCTATGATAATCACAAGCAGACGATTATAGAAATGATGATGTAGTGTTAATCTCATAATCTCTGGTGGCAAGGACATGAACTACTTCTCTACTCATTGGTTTGGCGATCCGGGGAAGTCCCGAGTTAATATACTGCAGGAAAAATCTGCGGGTTAAATTTCTATAATACAAAGGTATTAGTTAGAATTTTTTATTTCTCGCGTGAGAGATTTGCGGGAAATCGAGAAAATTTATAAATGCAGACGCTTGTGTCATCCATTTGTTTTATTGATTAATAAAGAATAGTAAATCCAATGTTTCAATGAATTTACCATTTCTAATTCTTACAATTCCTATAAACTACTTAGTCCAAAATGTAACACTGATAATAAATAATCGATAATGGTTATGAAAAGTCGCGATGGAAAAACATCATCAATAAAAAATATCTCGATTAATCTCGAATTTGGAGGATCAATTTTCTGCCGGTTCATTCAAGTCCTAGAGATCGTCAACTCCCCGAAGATTAATTGACGAACAGGCGCCAGGATCTCTCGGATACACTAACAGCCAAATCATCTGCAAGCAAATAAAAGAATCCCCAATAATTCCACACTCCAACTTTGCAACAATTAACTTAAGTACTTGAAGTCTTAACCATGAAAACGAACTTCTAAATTTCTCAGAGGGTTACCTGGAGGGTTGCGATACAACGAGAAGTTCCTGTCCATAATGATTTCTTACAGTAACAGGTACACATACATCTTCAAGGAGCGAGCATTTCTGTAGGACACCAGAGGTTCCCATCAGCCAATAAAGCGAGTCTCCATAAACATTAATGGTGACAGGGTACTGTAGCTTTGTCCTGAGGAATACATCTCGAGCAGAGCCATCAAGCTTTGCTCGTTCGATCACCTGAAGAGAGGTGTCAACCCAGTACAGCCTTGAGCGTTCATGATCAATGGCGATTCCCGATACGACTCCCAAATTCCCAGCGATATTCACCAAATTTTCACCATCCAAATCACTCCTCCAGATCTCGGTGGTAGGATTCTGAGCGGAGAAGTTCGTTTGTCCCCAGAAGAACCAGCCAACTCTCGGTTCTACCACAAAAGACGAGACCACTCCAGGATTCTTGGCTTGAACAACTAGAGTAGCTTTAGTCTCATTGAAGCTGCAGGACCTCACCTCCCCAGGTGTCTCACCATCCAAGTAAAAGACGTTGTGAGTTATCCAGTCAACAGCGAGAACCCTCGGCAGTCCAGAGTTCCCATTGTCCTCCTTTTCCCTGGTCTTCAGATTCATCTCGTGAATTATCTTGAGAAGTTTTGGACTCCAGTTGGTTAACCCTGAGGCTTCACCCTCTGATCTTGTTGCCTGACGTCCCTGAGCCTCTGAACAAATTCTCCTTATGTCCTCCCTCGCATCTGTCAACAGATCGATGTTACCGGTCTTCTCAACTACAGGCTTTGACTTGCTGATCGTCATTGGAATCTCATCCAAACAGCTCTTCTCATCCGAATTATCACCGCAATCATCTCGGTTATCACAGACGAGTGCTGTGGATATGCAGTTAAAATTGTCACAACTGAATTCACCATCACCGCAGCTTGTGCAATTCACCTCGTCCGCACCATTGAAGCAGTCGTCGACTCCATCGCACCGGAGGCTTAGACTGATGCAGGAATGATCGTAAGAGCACTCGAATTCCTCCTTCGGACAGGCTGAGTCAAGCAGACATGTCTCATGGTCTGCATCAAGAATCATAGCTGGTGGGCATCTGCAGGCACGAGAGGTGAGACTCTCCACCAGACACACGTGAGAGCATCCCCCATTGTTGATCTGACACTGATGGACATTATCTATTGAATAGTTTTTTGAGCTCGTCGTGATCAGATGCATGACGTCGACACTGGGAATGGGCAGGTCGAATCGTTTCCTTCCGGTGAAGCTCTTCGTCTTGTTTGACCAGAATACAGTTGTCGTGTTCTTGAGGGTCCAGAAGACCTCGTCACCGAGAATAGCCAGGCTGACGGGTTGGGGCAAGTGAAGATGCAAAAGCTTTCTCTCGTTTCCATCGAAGGAGACACTCTCGATTCTGCCTGTCCCCTCGTCTGTCAAGAAAACTCTGTCCGTTTCGGCGTCGTAAGCTAGAGCAACTCGTGGACCTCGAAAATTGTTCTTAAGAAAGCGAGATCGTTCGCCCCCTGTCATCAGCATCTTGTCGATGTGACAACTGGAGGACACACACAAGGCGACGAACATCGTGGACTTCTCGGGTATTAATAGAATCGCTCTGGGCTCCTCCGAGAAAAGGATGAAAGTTTTCTCCAAGGTTGATAGACTCATCACTTCGATTCTTCTGTTTTCAACATCAGCCGAGTACAGATTATTACCAACATGATCGAAACCTGTTCCACCGATAATTTCGTCGGCTCCGAAGACCCGGGAGATCTCGTCGAACATGATTTGATTGCTGTTGCTCAAGGAGTTTCTGTTGAGAGACTCGTAGATCTCTGCATAGATATTTATTATATATCATTATCATAATATTTATTATATATTATCATCATAATATTTTGGTAAATAATATTCGGCCATGAAACGGATTATTACAAATATCATTGATATCATTAACAATATCAATTTAAAATTGATGTGGACACCAGAATTCCGAGGATATGACTTAGAACTGAATTTTTACCTGCAAAATGATGAGACGTGTGAATTCTCTCCCAGTGGGGTCTCCCCAGGATGTCGTGCCGATAATCTAAGAAGACCTTTCCTGTCGCGATGATGATGTGTTGATTGACATTTTTGATTCGTATGCAACTTTTGCCGTCGAAGCCGAGTTCTTCATCTAGGCCGCATGCACACGTGTAATGATTGCGATCAGCAGCTAGTAGACAAATTTCTTCGCAGCTGGCAGAGCTGCATGGATTGTAGAGTTTAGGCTTGAGGACAGGATGATGAATGTGGATTCCGTAGATCTCGTTGGATTCTTTGAGAAGGGTCTTCTCATCTCGACCCGTTAGCTTGTTGCAGTGGTGAATGCTTTTCCTTCTCAAGTCACTCCAGAAGAGCTTTTCATCGAGAATTGCGATTGAAAAGGGATGGGTCAGGGCTGTGTGGTGGACTGTTCTTCGGTCGGAACCGTCCAGTTTCAGGGACTGAACGATTTTCAGTTTTGCATCGACCCAGTAAAGTCTGGCGTGTGGATAATCGATGGTCAGGCCGTTGGGCCATCCCAAATTATCGGTTACGAGGGTTGATCTAGAGTTTCCGTTCATTCCTGATGTAGAAATGTGCGGGACACTTCCCCAGTCGCTCCAGTACATTCTTTTTGATGCCGGGTGTAGGGCTAGACCTCGGGGCTTCTCTGTGTCATCTGTTATCACTGCTGTACAGTGGGAACCCGAGCTTGTGCATACGCCAATTCGCTTGTAGAGACTGTCTGCATTCCATTCAGTGATTAGGAAATGAAGAAAAGTGTTGGGAATTCGGTGGAAAATTCGAGCAATTTTCTACTAAATTTCCCATTGCGTAGAAAGAAAAATTACCGGAAAATTGTGTAATTGTGCAACTCTCATGTAATTTATCATGAATTTTTCCGAATTGGACTGGAAAATTTGAGAAAATTGTGAAGAAAAGCCTTAATTGAATTATTTCTGTAGAAGATCGGTCTCTCGACTTGTTCTGTTCAATATATTTTTTATAGTTCATTAAAAAATCGTCTTTTGTTATTTTATTAATTATAGTTTCCTCTAGAAATGAAAAAATGATAGATAATAAAACCAAAGAAAAAATAATTCTCAATAAACTAAATTACACAGAAGATTTTAATTCTTTATCTGTTTTAATTTTCTACTGCATAAAACTTCTTCCCCTTATTATGATATTAAATTAAAGAATTGTGTAAATGATGGCAGTTTGTGAATGATTCGGTTATACCTGTGAAATAGACATTGCCTGTAATCCAGTCGACGGCAATATCCTCCGGAACTCCAATCCCTGCGACAGCAATAACTTCCGGTGATGTGCCATTGGCGAAAGCGCGAAATATTCCCTCTTCTTCGCGTTTTATGTCGACCCAGTAGAGGTGGGTAGAGTCCAGGGAGACACCACCCACGTGGGTGAGGGTTCGTTTGAGAGGTGAATAAGGCTTGTTCGATGTCAAATTGAATCCGTGAATCTCTGTCTTCGTGGAGAAGACCAGTAGAGCGCTGCCCTTTTCTCTGCTGACGCGACAGCTTCTGCCGTCCGGTTGGAGCTCGAAACCCCGATCGCAGGCGCAAGTGTAGCTTCCTGGTGTGTTCCTGCACTTCTGGTCGCACAGGGTAGGAGATTCCGAGCACTCGTTTATGTCCTGGCAGATTCTACTCCACAGCAATCGGTAGCCGCGCTCGCATTTCCCATTTTTTGGACAGTTTCGCTCGTCGAGACCATCCGGACAGTCTCTTTCCCCGTCGCAGACGTACGATATCTGGATGCATCGACCATTTCCACATTCAAAGTGCGAGGGGCACGGGGATTCGGTAGCTGTGGGAGATAAAAAATAGTTGTTAATAACAGAGATCAGCAATTCTGGAGAACGGCAACAGATCGATTTTGGCGATCGGTTATAGACTTCGCGGAATATCTACGAATTTAGCGGAGATACGAAAATTATTATGATTACCTTTCTTGTAGATCTTTTTGCGCTTTTGGAAAAAGGTTTTAAGGAAAATTTTGCTATCTCCCTTGGAGAAAGAGATAATTATGGAAAACTAGATGGAAATCGTCAGTACTGGATTATAAAAACTTTCCCTTGAATATTGTGTGAGAATATTCGAAGTTTGTCGATAAGAAATGAATATAATTATTTTTATTTAACCACAAACACTTACATATTTCGGTTTTCGATAAAACCAGTAGCAAACTCGCTGCTGCCCAGGGAAATCCGGACATTTTTTAACGAATTTTCTCTCTGCAATGAAAATACACAATTAAATATAAATTAATCTCTGAAAAAAATAAACTCTAACTGCAAAAGAAATTAAAATTCCTATCAATACGTATTATTTCCAATTTAGATCGATTATTGGCAATAAATATCAATAAATAAATCACTAGACATTGGTTTTTTATTTTGACTTGACACCGACTATTTTAGAGGACAATTTAAATCGGAATTTATTTACTGTAATTGATATTGCATGTTTTTCCTACACATGAATGAAATAACGATCGGTACTCGGAAAAAGGCGGAGGAGAATAAACTGACGACGGATGGAAAACAAGTTCTTGACTCAAAATTTCTGGAATCAGGTAGAGCCCTCGAGAGATCAATCCTAGGCGAGTCCCCAAAAGTGGCTTGACGGGTACGTAATAGTGCACTGGGATGCGTTGAATTCCTCCAATGAAACTCCAACAAACATCTGAGATATCGTCTTTCTGATAACAGCACAAATTTTAGTCTCATTTTCGGGAATTTTATCTCGCGTTGAAATTCCACTGGAGTTTCAGGAAATCAAGTTGTTGACGAATGAAATATTCCACTGATTTTCTATCCAATTAGATAATTAATAGAATGTGTGATTTTTTTATTTCAGTTATTATGTGAAAATGATAAGAAATCGGGGAATTCCCCGAAATTTTTTAGAAAACTCTAAAAAGTTTTGATATTGTGTAATTAATTTTTGAATGACTCTTCAAATAACGTAAATATGTAACAATAAATAGAAAATTCTAATAATATTGAGATAATGTTGAAAACATACTTTATTGTTAAATATATTTAAAAATATTGTCTACATAAATTTATGAATGCTCGTCCCTACGTTTAAATAATAATCTCAGTGGATAAACAATTTCGATTTTAAGTTAATTGCTAATTCATTTCAAAAATTAAAATTAAAATTTTTGAAGAATTTATTCAGTTCGTTGTGTCTTGATTTTGATCGGGAGAACCTGCAACAGAATTGAAATAATTATTACTAAAATAAAATTGAATGATTTTGTTATTTAAAAAATTTGAAATCATCAAATGAGTATTCAAAAGCTATAACTGATACTATACCAAAAGAGCGAGAGAGTTTTCATTTGTTTTCGACCTCGATTAATCGATTCTCGTTCAATACTCGATTGCTCAATGATCGATTTTTATCTTAAGGTTGTTGTCGCGTAGAATTTTTTTTCGACAGTTTTCGTTAAAAATTTTATGGTGAATAGTTTGAAAAATTAGCAACAAAATGAGCCTTTTCCGTTTGCAATTGACCGTTTTGAACTTGAGATATAAATTTTTGAAATTCGAGTGATTTAACACGTGTTTAAATGGAGTTTTGCCGATTAGAATTTTTTAAAAAACAACGGCTCGACAGTTTCAGAAATAAAAAAAAACGTGGAATATACATCGTGGGAGGAAATACAGAAAAAAAAAATCAAATCGATTGACCTTTGGTTTACGGAATATAATTATCGGAAATCCATAAATTTATATAATTGAAAATAGTTAATATGGAAAATATATAGTTATGCTTTAGCTATCCATGCACAATGCAATCAATCAAGTGAGACTATATACCGCTAAAAGATTGTGTTCTAAACTGGCCCGTTTTACAGCGGATAAACTTTTTACAGAGACTGTCGCGCGACAACAACCTTAAGGATCGACCAGAAAAATGCGGATGAGACGATTTTATATTTTCAATTTTCAAAATATAGCGGAAAAAACTAAGAGATATTTTCATTAATTTTCAGTGTTACAGCGGTAATTATTCTAATAATAATATACCATATAATTGGAAACTCACAAGTCTTCTGGTCAGATTCGAGGGTCATCTCTAGTGGACATCCGCACACCCGAGAAATCGTTGTCTCCAGTAAACAAACATGAGAGCATCCCCCATTGTCAATCCGACACTCGTGGATTTCCTCTCCAGCCTTTAACCGAGGAAAATTCAGACTTAAAACCAGGAAGTCACCCTCTGGAGTCTCCGTGATGTTGAGGGCTTTCATCCCGTCGTGTCCGCCAGTCTTGTTCGCCCAGAATACCTCCCTGGAGCCTTTCACAGTCCCGAAGACGAAGTCCTTGAGGATCGCCAAACCCACCGGATACTTGAGCCCTGCCTGCAGCAACTGCTTGTCGTATCCGTCGAAGGAAATGCTATTCAGTGTTCCTGCGGTTTCATCTCCCCAGAAAACTCTTCTCGTCTCTGGGTCGAAGGCTAGAGGAACCCTCGGACCCCCCAGGACTTCCCTCACAAAACGCGTTCTTCCTCCCCCCGACATTGACATCCTGTCCACATGACAACTGGATTCACTACACAAGGCCACAAACATCGTCGCCTCTTCTGGTACTAGCAGAATTGATCTAGGACCAAGCGAAGAAATTTAATAGGAAAATTTGCTTACTCTCTGAATGAAAATTCTCTGAATGAGTAAAAAAACTCATAGCATCAGAGAATTCGGTGGATTTTTCTGGAATTCTTTGAGGCGTTAAAAATGAAAAATATCAGAACTAATTAAAATATTCGACTTCATTTTTTTCCTATTTTCAAATCCACTAGAATTTTTATAAAAAGAGTTAGACTTTTCTGACGGATTTACCTGGGATCTTCGGAGAAACTGATGAAAGTTGTCTCGAAATTCAAGAGATTTGTTACTTGAATTCGGTTGTGACCATTTACTGAGTAAAAATTTTTTCCAATGGAGTCGAAGGCGACGGCCCCGAGGGTTTCGTTATCCCCGGATATGATTGAGATCTCTTCGAACATGAATTGCCAGCCACGAATCGATAAACTGTGGCTCTCGGGGAAGACCGAGGCGAATTCCTCAGGGTTCTCGATCTCTCGCCATTGCGGTCTTCCCAGGAATTCGTGACGATAGTCGAAGAGAATTCCTCCAGCACCGAGGATTAATCTGTGCTCCTCGTCTCCTTTGCAAGTTTTCCCATCCGCCTCGAGAGTTTTATTCGCACTGACAAAAAAACATGAACGAAAAAGATTTTAGTGCAGCTAGAATCATACATGTAAGTTTTTCCTGTCAAGAACTTTTTAACATTTGATTTGGCAAAAATAGAACTAGAAAGGAATTCTTGTAAAGTTCCAACTGAAATTCTTTATAATCAATTATTGCAAGTAAAAGTTCCTACTGTTAAATAAAATTGACAGAAATAAATGATCTTTTTTCGAATTCTAATATAGGAGAACTCGAATAGAATTCTTCGAGAGTTCCTGAGGGAATGCACGGGTAGAAAAATGAAAGAATTGGCTGGAAAAAATGACAATTTTTCGAATTGAAAAATGACTGCACACCTGCAGGCACAGCTGCAGCTGAGATCGGCCCCGATCAGGCATATTTCTCCACAGCGCATTTCTTCACAAGGATTGTCAAACTTGGTAAAGGCCTGGTAGACGTGAACTCCACGGAATACACGATTTTCTCCAACAAGAGTTCCGAGGCTCTCGCCTGATGTCTTATTGCAAGATCTGATGTTTCCAGTTTCCCAGTCACTCCAGAGGATTCTGTCCTGAAAGACCGATAGGGAAAACGGGTGCATCTGGATGGCACGCACCAGGACCTGCCTGTCTTCGCCAAGAAAATTGATAGATTCAATTCTTTTGAGTTTGGCGTCAGCCCAGTAAAGTCTCGAGTAGATGTCATCGATGGCGATGCCGTTGGGCCAGATGATGTCTGTGGTGACCAGTGGAGTTCTGGAGTTTCCGTTCATCTCCGCCCTGGAGATGTGGGGATCATTTCCCCAATCGCTCCAGTAGAGCTGACCCGTTGGTGGATAGAGGGCAAGACCTCGGGGCTTCTCTGTACCTTCTGTTATTATTGCGGTGCAGTACACACCAGATGCTGTGCACACCCCCAGGTACTTGTTGGAGGCGTCCGTGTAGTAGATATTTCCAGTTATCCCGTCAACTGCTAGTTCCTGAATATTTCCTATCCCTGCGATTGCCAGGACCTGTGCGCCAGTACCGTTCCTACAATTCGTACGAAATTATGGGAGTTCCTTGAAAGTTCTAGGAGAATTGATGAATTCCTGTATGAATTCTGTTTTTATGTAGTTTTTTTATGTAGTACTTGGAAAACTCTCGTGGTTTTAATGAAGCAAATCTCGAGAGCAAGAACCAATCGAAAAATAAAAATTAATTGACATTTTGTAATCGAAAGTTTAATATAATTCTTTAAGAATTTCAATAGGAATTCAACAGAACGTCTAGAGCTTCGATAAGGATGAACCTGGATTTCTTACTTGAAGGCTCGATAAATTCCCTCGTTTTGGAAACTGTTCATCGACCAATAGACGAATGTCTCGTCAAGGGCTACACCCACCACATTCCGCAGATTTTTCATAATCAGAGGGAGAGATTTGTTGGTGATTAAGTCGAAGGCACCGATTTCTGTGTCCGAGGAGTAGATCAAGATGCTGTCTTCCGATTCATTTTTCGGCTCATCATCTACAGAAATAGAAATTAATTGTTCAAAAGAATCGGATAAACCATGAATAATTTTTTTTCTATTGAGTATTATTGGGAGGTGGAACTTGCCGCAATTCCATTCATCTCCACCGTCTAAACAATCTCTCTCTCCATCGCAGACCCATATTTTCGGAACGCAGGTCCCAGTCGAACATCGAAACTCATTCTGAGTCGAATTACACTCTGATGCAATGAAATTTTTAATACACTCGTTGCAATCAGGATAAAATATGCATTGACACGGGAGCTGTCTTTAAGGCCCGGATGGACTGTCTGGAAAAGATAATTTACTCCAAAATTGGGACTTCTAATTATTCCGTCAATTAATCGTTTTTTTTTCGATAATTGTTAGCTAGCGGCCTAGTTGTTGACAACCGCTAGAACGCTAGCTAACAATTATCGGAAAAAACGATTAATTGACGGAGTAATTAGAAGTCCCAATTTTGGAGTAAATTATCTTTTCCAGACAGTCCATCCGGGCCTTAAAATAATTTTATAGAATTTCTATTGGATGGAGTTCCGGAGGAATTCTCGCCCAATCCTAATAGTAACTCATTGTTAAACGTAAAATGTCTACATTTTTTCATCAAATTGGTGGTGAACAAATAAATCTTTCAAATGGAACTCTAACAGAACTTCAATAGAATTCTTATAGAGTTCCAATAGGAATTCTTGTAGAATTCCCGTAAACATTCAAAGAAAACAATAAAAATATCTTAGATAAAAAAAATGGGATGTTCAGTAGAATTAACCGAAGAATTAAAAAAATCCTCCACAGAACTCCAATAGAATTCCCATGGAGTTCCATTAGGAATTCAATAAAATTTCTGAGAAGACCCGTGCACTTTTTTCATAGAACATTTTTATTCGTGAACTTACCCGAAAGTTCATTGGAACTCTGCAGATTCGCACTGGCACCAGTAAATAATCTCAAGAGTAGAATTATGAACAACCAGACGACTCCTCCCATTGTTAACAGACTGACTGGTTAATAGCGAAGTTCAATGCGAAATGTGTAAATTGCATAATAGTCGTTTTGATTTTCCCACTTCTGGTATTATATAATCAGCACGATTAAACTTCTATCTGATTTTTCACACATTTTAATGATTAGTGGGTCATAAATGTCATCTCTTCATGACCTTGTGCAACTTAATCTAGAGGAATAATGACTGTTGATGTCCTTATGATACCGAGTGCCAATTTGCGTGACTCAATAAATTTGTTATTAAACTGCCCCACGAGTTGTCAAATAAATTAAAATCAGGTCTCATCTTTTCAAAGAAACATAGACCAGCAGAATGAATTCCAAGTGGAATTGATTTTCAAAAGTATTTCCATTTCTCAAAATTGAAACTTATTCTTATCTCAATTTATTTCTCATTCAATGATTTCTATAGAAAAATAGAGATCTATTTAAACATTCCAGCTAATTCAAATATCTGGAATTAAAAGTAGATAATGTTTTTTTTTGCTGCAAATACTTTAATGATGCTCGATTTAATGACATAATTAAATTAACGACCTCAATTGATCGCGTAATTTTTAATAAACTCTTCTTCGTGAGTTTAAAATTGAAAGATTCAAATGAGAGTTTCGCGTCAAAAATCAATGATTCAATTGAAATAATGGATGAAACGAATCTTCATGTTTTTTATCACAAACTTTTGTGGGCATTTTTCGCTGAAAATTGGGCGCGTGCCTCTTCACCACAAAAAACAAAACACAACTCGCCACTCTCTCCTCTGAACTCTCCATGACTCCAGTGTTTTCATTAAATATTTACCCCTAAATCAAGTGAATTCATAATAACTGCAGGTAGTGAAACTAATTACAGCCGATGATCGGTTAGTTCTTGGAAAAATGCCGCACTGTCTCATGAAATCGATCGTGAGATCAAGATCATTTGGAGGCAGCAAAGGTGAGTCATTGATATGAAATGAAGAGTGTTTTGCCTAGTGACAGGTTTTACCTAGCGATGAAAAACGAATTTATCTTGTGTAATGGAAGAAATCAAAACATTTTCCAAACATTAACCTCGCTCGATAGTCCATTGGGATATTTTTCATGTGGAAAGCAAGATGAAATCATTTTTTCCTCTTTGCGATGTGTTAATTTCATTAAAAAGTGTTTGAACATTTAACCCAATGAAAATTGTGCAAAAATCAATATTTCTGACTTGTTTAGAAATTACAAGTTAATCATTTAGTCATTCAATTAAATCGTAATGAATTTAAAAAATATTTATGTATCGTTTAAACTTGAATTACTGGTAAATTTAGCAGTTAAATTGTCTGAGCTTAAACAAAATCCCATTTATTTGTAAAAAGTTTTGTATTGAATTTTCCATTTGTTTTGGGTGTGAAAAAAAATACTTTTGCCACTCCAGTCAAGTACTGGAAAATCCACACATTTCAGATATTTAAATCCATTTCCGTGTATCGAGGAAATTCACTTTATAATCATGAATTAATTTAGCAGAAGTAGTTTTTTTCAAAGGCGATATTTTCTAATTTCGTGACGATTTAGAATCCAGAGGGACTTGTGGTGCCCCTGGGAGTTCCAAAAAACGGGGCAAGGAGTCGTTGAGGAATGAGAAGACATCGACTGGGTACAATGGATTGTCGATCATTACGAGATATAATTTCACGAGAAATCACACGAGAGCTGGTGAACTGGGACTGGAACTCGTTGGAGACGAGGAGAAATCTCAGGATTCCTCTGGTTTCTTGGGGACTGTGGTACCTAGAGCGGAGAATCAGGAGAGAAGTGCTGGTGCTCTTGATCTGGTGCAGAGGAGACCTCAGGTCATTGTATGGGGACACAGACAGGATGTGGGAGTGGATCAACGAGTTGGAGATGTCCAGGAAGCCGTGGAGGAGTTCAAGGTACCAGAGGTGCAGGTGAGAGACCTCTGAATTAATCAATTCCTAGATTATTAATTTGTCTCTTTCGTACACATTTTTGTGAATATTTTTTATTCAAATCAGTAATTAGTGAAAAAGTACACTTTTCATTTGGTTAAATGTCGATAAATCTCGGGAATTATTGGTTTGACGGAAAAATGACAGAGAAACTTTTTTGTAGGGAATTTAGTCAGCTATAAAAAAGTTATTTGGTACTTTCCACTAAAATTCATAGTTCTGCAGGTAAATAGGTAATATAATAGGTATAGGTTTTTCAGTTATGATAAATCTCGACTGATTTCAGAAAATCTTGGTTTTAGGAAGAAGCTTCATAGAACCTTTTTTGAAGAAAATTTAATCATTCACGGAAAAGGTCTTGTGATGTTTTTACTTAAAATCGATAGTTCTCGAGATACTGTTATGATAGAGTTTCGACACCCAGTGATCGATGATTTTCGTTCCTTTCAGAATCCCCAGACTTGGAAAAAGACAAAAGTTTTGCATTTTTGTCCGTATTGTCACAAAAGTTTTGATCGCCCTTGGGTGCTGAAGGGACACCTGAGACTCCACACGGGGGAAAGACCATTCGAGTGTCCAGTGTGCAATAAATCATTCGCTGACAGGTAAAGTTGTTAAGAAAAGAAAATCCAGTATCAAAGTGACAAAACTTGGAAAAATAAAATAAATTTATCTTTTCTGACGTTTTCTATATTAAAATCCCCCAAAACAACTCGCCAACGAGTATTTCAAGGCCAAATATATGAAGAAAGATAAATTTATCTTATTTTACCAATTTTTCTCCTTTTTGTCTTAAATGTCTTGATATTTTCTGGTATAATTGAGATAATTTTAGTAATTAAAAGGACTTTTAATTAATGTATAATTTGCTTGATGTATTACAAGTGGAATTTGTAGAATTGAAGGGGTTTATTTGGTGGTCTTGATTTTTTTTTTTAATTTAATCTGCTCCAGATCAAATTTACGAGCTCATCAGAGGACCCGAAATCACCACGAGTGGCAGTGGCGATGCGAGGTTTGCTTCAAAGCTTTTTCCCAGAGAAGATACTTGGAGCGTCATTGCCCGGAGGCATGTCGTAAATACAGACTATCACAGAAGAGAGAATAAAGTGTAGAGATAAGGAACCTGTTTTTGAATAAAGCATTTTACGTTAACTAGATTTCTTCACGGGCTCTTGATCAAATGTTTTCATGGAAAATATCACATCGTGTGTGTGACACAACCCCTAGGGGAACAGGTGGATTTTTTTTATGTCACTTGTCTTAGAGCTTTCGGCATTTTTCAATTTTCTACGGGGTGAATTTATGAGAGATCAATGGTTGGCTGAAGGATTTAATTTTGCTAAAAATCATTTTTATCTCCGAAAAGAGGAACGCAGTGCCCAGAGGGCAGGTGAAAATTTTGGTTTTTATTTCCATAATTTTTTCATGCCTCTGAGAGTTTTATTAACATATAAGGAACAAATCCATACAAAATCAACAGCTGAATAGAGGAACGATTCAATTGCGAAAAAAAATGACGTTCCTCCCCCATAGATCATCAACTAGTGCCCAGAGGGTGGATAAAATTTCTTTTTCCACTCTCTTCGCTTATCCAAAGTCGCTGATCAATTTCTCATGATACCATAAAACCCACCCACACCATCTCCTGCAACCTTCAAATTTTCCCGCGCTATTGCAAACGCGCCTGAATGCCGCGCAGGCGTGCGCGCGCTTCCCCCACCCCTTGACCGCACCACATCTGTGTACAATAGTCTCACAATAATCGTCCGGCATTTGATGCAGTGCGTTGCAAATTTCCACGATCCAAAAACAATAAAAAAAACCCCGCAATACCGCTAAATCAACCTTTGAGAATTACCCCGAGGTGTAAAAAGTTGTCGCGAGACTCCCCAAAAATCCAACCCCCGACGAAAATTTCGTGTAAAGTGTAAAAAACGTGACAAAAAAAAAACGACAAAAAGAGGTTGGAGAATTTAGTTAGGGAGGGAACGCTTGGCGCCTTACGGCGATAGATCGAAACATTGACATTGGGGGGTGGAGAGGGGGCAATTTCGAGAGTTTGTCGGCCATTTTGGCGTGTCAGTGTGTTTCTCGTAACGTTCCCCTGTGGATTTCTGAATACTACGCTCTCAAATCGGCATCGGTGTACATCCTTAACGAGGTAATTCCATATTATTATCAGGAGTAATTAGTTTCACCGATGGATCATCGGGTTTTTCACCGAGATAAGCGTTATCACGACGTTTTAATCAATTCAGGGTATTTTTAACTTGTCGTTGGGGGAGATGCAGGGAACTGCCAGTGGTGGGAGATCGTTTTGGCGTCTGAATTTTTCTCTTCAAATTATTGTTTATTCGTCAATGCGGAGTTTATTCCCTTGTTGAGATTCTGATTTTGGGGAATTTGGAAATTGTGGGTGGAATTTTTTGGATTATTTTCTATTTAGATTTTTTTTTTGGGGGGTTTTTTGGCGGAGAGTTCTTAGGATTCCCTTGAGTCATTCACTTTGTTCTTTTGGATTTGCTCACACTTTTTGAGAAGTATGCACTTGATATTTGAGTTCGCTTTTTTTTTTGCTTTTGTCTCGCTTTGTTCAGAATTAAGAGATGAATAGGACAGAGAGAGGCACTTTCAGTTTTGGCGTCTGAGTCGATTTTTTTTTGTTATTTTTCGTTGAGTTTTAGAAGTTACGGGGATTCAATGAATTAATTCCAAGAATAATAATAATAATAGGATAACAATCGGGAATTTATTGAAGAAATTTGGTTTAATGTCTGAGGTGACTGTTGATTTTTTAATTATTCTGAATTCTACTACAATAATTTTTGCGTTCAGGATTTGATTTTTCTATTGGAGTTCAATGTTTACGCCTCGAGATTAAGAACAAAGAAAGGGCAAACGACTTGTTTTGAGATTTCGAAGAGATTTGCGTTTGTTTCGATTTACTCTATTTTTCTGAGTGATTTGCGAGGGATTATAGAATTTATGAGTACTTGAATGGGAGAATTTAAAGTGAATTTGAAAGACATTTCTTCTGGAGATTATCGTAATTGTATCAGATATTTTGGAATTCATCAAAGCAATCTGCAGGCGAAGAAATTACTGGAGTTTTGATTTGAAATTGTCCCGGGGGGCTGTGTAGAACAACGAGATGACCTCAGATGTTTGTTTTCGTTCCTCGTTGGATATACGCTCCCAACACTTGAAGAATTCCATTCGATTCATTGCGAAAATTTTATTGTGGGGATTCAGGTAATTGTTCCTGGATTTTCACCTCTGAATATTCCATTTCTTCACGTCTGAGAGGAAGTGTTGGGCTGAGAGCTGTGTTATATTTTTTTCTTCCGCAATTGTGGTGTTGTCTGGTAGAAATTATCATTCTTGGAATGGGATTTCGTGGGTGAAATCTCGCCCTGGCTTTTCCGCAGATTGATTAATTAATTAATTCAATTTCCTGGATTTTATGTTTCAGATTATTAGGACCTCTGAACTGTTTTCGAGATGATGACCGAAACGCATATGAATTCCAATCACATGTTGAATTCGGGTCTGAGCAGTAAGTCAGACCTTGAAAAGATGGACGATGTGGGCTGGAAAGCAAAACTTAAAATTCCACCAAAGGACAAACGCATCAAGACAAGTGTACGTATTATTTTGAAGATTGTTATCATTTGAATTAAATTTATGGATTCCTAATTTTTGTCAATTTATTCATTTATTTGTTGATGTTAATCCTTGTATCTTTGTATTATTCTTTTCTAATAAATTAGATAAATTTCTTTGACACGTTCCTTCGAATAATTCGCGGTTGTTGACTTAATAATGAAAATATTTATATCCTCTTTTTTTAATTTGGAAATATTCTGCATTTCAGTTTAGCATGATTGATTTATCACTTGTGGATAAAAATTCGTGGGAATAGTGGATTATTGATGAAAAATGATACTAAATATTTTAAATTAATTACAGGATGTCACAGACACACGTGGTAACGATTTCGAAGAATTCTGCTTGAAGCGAGAACTTCTGATGGGAATATTTGAAAAGGGATGGGAGAAACCATCACCAATTCAAGAAGCCAGTATACCAATTGCCCTGTCTGGCAAAGACATTTTGGCACGTGCCAAGAACGGTACAGGAAAGACTGGAGCTTACTCAATCCCAGTATTGGAGCAGGTAATGCGATTTTGTGAATTCTCAGTGATTTATCATTGTTGTTCCACGCACAAGTGTTCAATATTTTTTATATTTTTCACTTGCAGGTTGACGCTAAAAAAGACGTTATCCAAGCATTAGTCATAGTGCCTACCAGAGAGTTAGCATTGCAAACATCTCAAATCTGCATTGAGCTCGCTAAACACATGGAGGTTAAGGTTATGGTGACCACTGGTGGAACTAATCTGCGCGATGATATTATGAGGATTTACCAAAAAGGTAGATTTTTCATTAATTCATCCCTCATCTCATCCTCAACTCCATTCCACTATCAAAATTTTTCTTTCATTATTTTTAAAATCAGAATTATTTTATTATAAAAAAAAGTTTCTCAAGTAAACTTCGAAACAAATTTTATCTCCCATTTTAACTTTAATTTATTCAAGGTTCAGTGAATAAAAATTGAATAAAACACAAGAGAAAATACAAATCAGTTACAGAAGTGAATAGATCAAGAACTGGACTACGTTCTACTAAATACAAATGGAATTGTTTGAAAATTCTCCATTCACGTCTCAGTAAAGAAAAATATAATGAACAGATGAGAATGATTTTGTTTTGAATTTCAGTTCAAGTGATCATTGCAACACCAGGTCGTATTCTCGATCTGATGGACAAAAATGTCGCCAACATGAATCACTGCAGAATTTTGGTACTGGACGAGGCTGACAAACTCCTATCACAAGACTTCAAAGGCATGTTGGATCATGTTATTTCCAGATTACCACAGGAACGACAGATATTGCTGTATTCAGCCACGTTCCCTCTGACTGTTAAACAATTCATGGAAAAACACTTGAGAGATCCATACGAGATTAACTTGATGGAGGAGTTGACACTAAAGGGTGTAACACAGTACTATGCCTTTGTCCAAGAACGCCAGAAGGTTCACTGCCTGAATACATTATTTTCAAAGCTGCAGATAACACAGAGTATTATATTCTGCAACTCGACGCAGCGTGTTGAACTGTTGGCCAAGAAGATCACAGATTTGGGCTATTGCTGCTATTACATTCATGCTAAGATGGCACAAGCACACAGAAATCGTGTGTTCCATGATTTTCGCGCTGGTCTATGCCGAAATTTGGTGAGTCTTTTATTCTTCTGCTTCATTTTTTGTGCATTTTTACATTTTTCATCTGCTATTTTTCGGATCAGTTGTTTTGCAAAAATATTTTGCACTATCGCGTCGAGGAAATTATTGTGTTGATGAGAGTCATTTTTTGAGGGTAATATTCACTTTTTTTAAAATCTGCGATTATGCACGAAAAATTCAGGAAATACATTGCACTTTGTGTAAAAATTAGGTCTGTGTTGGGGTTTTGTAGAAATTTTGTTGGGAGTTTATTGAAATTTTAGAGAGTTGGCATTTTTTTCTGTGAATGTTTTCTTGATTTTTTTTTCTATCCAATATCTTATGGAATCATCAAAAGAAAAAAAACGAGAATTAGTAGAATTGCGAAATCCCAAGAGAATTTCTGGAGAGTTTCAACATAAATTCTACATAATTTAATTCGGTTCTTTTATCGCATTTGATGGCGATTTTTCTGTTACCTAATTCCATCTGTGGTAATAGTTTGACGTGTTCGTATCTGAATTTAGAATTAAATAGCCAAGACATTTATTCAAGTTCTTTGACTGAGAATAGGATAATATTAGAATTTCTCTAAATTAATTTTTATGGTTCTATGGATCTATGTAATTTTTTATTTAGTTCTAATGCTAAAAATTTGTTGACTCTTATCAGTCGTAAATTCGGATGATTAGACGTATTTACCATAAAATCGGAGAGAATAAAATTCGAGCAATTGATTAAAATAAAGAATCGAAAATCGTTCGTTTCTTGAGATTTCTGCGAATTTATTAATAAACTAGTAACTACTTTCTCTGTTCTTTTTGCAAACTCGAAATTTTCCAGTTTTTCATCATTTTCATTTACAAGAGAAAATAATCTCGTAAAAATGATTGCTTCCATGAAAAATTTTCTCATCCCCTCGAAGTAATATTAAATTTCTAAATCGTGTAACTTCTTCCATTTGTTAAAAAAAAAATAGGTAAGCAGTGACTTGTTCACGCGCGGTATTGACGTCCAGGCTGTGAACGTTGTAATAAACTTTGATTTTCCAAAAATGGCTGAGACCTATCTCCATCGTATCGGTCGCTCCGGTAGATTTGGCCACTTGGGTATCGCTATCAATCTTATAACCTACGAGGATCGTTTCAATCTCCATCGTATCGAGTCTGAGCTTGGCACTGAGATCAAGCCAATTCCCAAGGTGATAGATCCAAGCTTATACGTTGCAAGACCAGAGGACAACAACAGTATGGAGGAAGGTAATGTGTCGAAGTAGTTTAACTCAACGATTAATCAAGAACAGAAAGAACAACCACAGATGGATGAAAATTTTTCATTAAAATAAACACCCATAAATACATTACATTAAAAAAATCCTTAAAAAAAAATCCAAAAAAATGAAGGTAAAGGAAACACAGCAAGAGGAGAAGGAAGTGTTTTTTTTTCTGGTGACTCGTACATACTATGGCATTAATTCTCAATTACTTCGAACACAAACGTGAGATTGTGGAAAATAATAAAAATACCAACAAAACTGGAATAAACGTTACTTAAGTCTGATAAAATGTCTCAATGGGGTGTGAGTGCTTGTAGCCAGTGTAAAAAGACAGTTAAAGTGCTAAAAACAACGTGAAGGAAGACTATCGAGAAGAGATAAAAATAAATGAAAGGATAAAGTGGAAGAGAGAAAAATATTGAGTTAAATTTACAGTTCGTCTTCTTCACTTCTTCGTCATTAAATGAATTAACAAAGGGATTAACAAACACGGAGATATGTGATTTTTTGTAAATATTATGATTAAACCGAGGGAGGCGCAATCACATCAATTAACGTCGGTTTGATTGAAGGATAATTTCAAAAAAAAGAAAAAAATACGAAAAAACCATGTGTTTAAATTAATTCGATGAACTCAGTGACTGAAGTGAGAGTGCGAGTGCCGGTGCGAGTCATTTATTATTCTGTAAATAGACAACATTAACGTTTGAATGTACATAATTGATAATTAATTAGTCAGAGTCAAGCCATTATCAAGAGTGAAATACTTAGGGAATATTTGAAATGAGATGTGATTGAATTTATTGGAGACAGGAACAATAGTTTCTATATTAACTGGAGAAACACACGAGTGGAATTTAAAATTCATGGATTTATTGCATTTTATTCGTGTACATACAGCATGAGAACAAATATTCAGGGGTTTTATTTGGGATTTTTCTTCATTGTTTTTTTCTCATTTTTTTTTTCTTTTTGATACTGAGGGCCTCGTTATTTCCGAGATGATGGGGCCATTAATTTTGGGGGAGTGGATGGATGGAATCTGTTGATTTTTCGAGCTGGGGTAATTGTCTGGGTGCGATCATCTCGGTAATGAGGGTTTTTTTTGGGGGGGGAAAATGTCAAGGGGGATTTTTTGTGGGAAATTTTCTCAGCTGCAAAAAATTTCTCTGGCATTTTTATCTGAATTCAATTGTCATAATGACGATAATGCGGAGATCGATTTCGTAGCGTCTTTCCACTCCTCGATAAATTTATTTTTTTCGTAAATTTCGGAAATCTCGTGGAGATTTTCAGTATCTCGGGCCTGTCTGATATTCAGTGATTCAGTTCATTCACTGAGAAGTAATTCGGTTTTTTTTTCATGAATGAAGTCATAATCGTTTCCAATGTTTTTGGGTTTATTTGAAAAATGGTATAATAACGAAAACGTATGTATAGGTTGATTGTGGCTTGATTTTGCAATCTCAATACGGTCATAAACACAACTCTGAAAATCAAATCACGAGAATCCAGCAAAAAATTACGACCGAGATAAAATTCTTTTTTTTTTTGCGTTTTTTTCCTCCATAAAAAAAAACAACATGAAAGCTTTTTTCGTTTCTCCCTTTCCCGCTTTATTTCGTGTTTTCATTTTTTACCTCGAATGTGATTGGAGACACTTTTTTTTAATGGTACTGTGATTGAGAATCAGAGGGTTGTAAAATTGACTAGTTTTATACAATTATTTTTATAACCAATTTGGCTGATGGGCTTCGTGGGCTCTGTGGGGGATCGTAAATGCAGAATCAATTTATTATTGAGTGATTTTAATTCGTAATAAACAAACTGTTACGGTTCATGAAGAGTTTAATTACTCCGGATGTTTTCATGATTTTTTTCATTGAATAATTAACACTCGAGGATACGGTAATTCTGATGGAAATGAAGAAAATGTGAAAGTATTTGTACAAATCTTGGTGCTGTGATGTTTTTTCTTCGCTATTTTAGGACTCAGTATCAATCATTGTCTCCATACATGAGTACTTGATCATTAATTATCCTAGGGAGTGCTCGAAACGTTAGAAACAAATTGAACGATTAAAATCAGTACTGAAGTGGACCAACGACGATTTAGAACTCACACTTTAAAGAGAGATTCATCATGGGCAATTTAATTACCCAGGGTAAATAATCCGAGAATAATTACTCCAATTAATGAGGATGTTAGATGTCGTTTTAACCACTTTGTTACTGATTAATGTTCATTAAAAAATCGAATGATTATTGATTACGATCCTGCACACCCACGAAACACATATATAACATCACGTATACCTTTTTTTCACTCTACGAAAATCGCAAGAACGTTATAAAACAATTAAAGCTAGCGATTAAAACCTGAGAAAAATATCGTAAATCGATGGAAAACACTCGATAAGACATTTATTGTGAATGTAAAGATGTGAATGAGGTTTGTGGGTGTGGGAAATGACCTCCCAATCCTCAATGAAATTCTTTGTAACATAACCGGGCCAAAAAAAACCAATAAGTGAGTGGCAGTCGAATGTGAGAATAATTTCGATTTAAAAAAAGGGACAAATGGTTTTTCGAATATTCTCTCAATACTAGAAGCGATCCTGGGGCCATTGGCCTTCGAGGATTATCACTAAATCGTTAGGTACGATTCTAAATAAATTATCCAACGAGAATGCATTACATAAATCCTCCATCTCACGAGAGACACGAAAACGAATTGAAAACCATTTAAGATGAATCTCTTTTTTTTTATTCAAACAAATCTTGTGTGAACCGACTGATGAGTGCTGGTAGATCCATGCCACTAAATGTAAATTATAGTCCAACATATTAATTGCTATTGCAAAGGAAAATGCAACAAAATATATATTATATATAAATAAAAGAGGAAAACGAAGAATTGTGTCCATCGACTTTTCACTCGAGAGAAGTCTGTGAAGATTAATTAAATGCCCTTTAGTCTTGGTTTCATTATTCAGTGGGGAATTTTGTTCGTTATTATGTTTGCGTTCGGATGAAAGAGCAGAATAAAACAATAGAGCAAAATGGAAGTGAATGGAATGAGGAAAAGTAAAAAGGGCATTTTTTTTTTGAAGAAATGTAGGATAAACGGTGATAATATTTTCCATTGTGGTTTTTAGGGATAAAATAAATGATTGTGAATGATGATGATCGATCAATCATCTTGTGATGAGTTTGGAGGACAGCGAATAGAGCAGAATGGAAAATAAGTCAACCGAAAACTGTAGCAACTGCAGTTATTAGTGCAGTTATTAATTTCATTGTTCGATTGATTAGTTCGTTGGAGGTTACGATTTTTTTTTTAATTACCATCTTGAGTCAGGGGTCAGGGGCTTGATGGAGTTGTATTAATGCCTGGACTGAATTATTGGGAGGGAAATCTCGAAATTTGGATTTCGGGGATTTTATGGATTGAGTAGTTCGAGTCTAGGGGATTGATTGATCCATCAAGGGAGGGGGAGGTTTTTTTTTTCAACGGGAAGAGGTGAAAACGGTGAATATCAAATTTTTCTAGGGAAGTGGTAAATTTAATGGCAACTCTGGGGATAATGGGGTTGGAATAAAATTTGTGAGGAATTTTTTGTAGAGAATTTTCAGAGCTAGAAAAAAGTCTCATTGCATTTCTCGATAGCTCAAGGCGTTATCGAGATAACTCGAGAATTAGCGATGCAAAAATTTGAGGGGAATCGAGGAGTTGGTATATGTGTGCAGAGGTTTTTGCGGATAGCTCGAGAACGAGTGAGTTTAGAGATAAATGTGCGGGGACTTTTTTGGAGTTCTTGATCTCCTTAAAGAAAATTCTCTTATGGCTCTTTCACGTAATATCAATATTTGCTGAGATATTGGAGCACGAAGGCGAGAGAAATTTTCGATGTACTTTTTTTTACCACTTCCTTTTGGATTATAAATCATCGAAGTTAATTCCCAATATTTGGGACGTTGTGGTGTTACTTCTGCGCATGTTCTCCACTCGTAACACTTTATTTTCACCGTGTAATGTAAACGAATCGATTTATGGAGTGCAGGGAAAAGGGAAGCTAGAGGTGAATTAAAAGGGACAAAAAGTCGTGTAAAAATGAAACAGAAGTGTTGGTCTTTGAATGAGTCGAGGAGTTAAAACTCTAAAAGTCTCTTGAGTTCCTCCCCCTTTCCCCTGAATGTTTTATTCACCTCTCAGTGATCTTTTCCCCCCTGCAGTTTGTAGAATGAATTCGTGGCGTGGGGCGAGTGGAGGCGGAGAACATCTCTGTATTGAAGTTGTAAAATTACGATTATCTCGAAAACAATAGGATTTAACGAAAAATGTGTCTGACCTTTTTTGTAGCCCTGAAAAATTACTACAAAAAAGTATAATGACATTTTTTTCTCAGAGCATTAGGTCTCGAGTTAATCATCATTATCATTAACAGCATTGAAAGAGATTCCACAGATTAATTAAAACGGGTTTATTGTTTTTGTAATTATCCCGGTAATGAGTGGTTTTGGGTGAAAAATGTACTGGAACTTTTTTGTAGCTGAGAAAATTTCCCACGAAAAATTTCCCTCACATTTTCTTCTAGAATCACTCATCCCCCGGATAATTGGAACTTTAATACAGAGATTGTGTGTTCTCGGGTTTTTAGAGGCAAATTCAGAATGAATTCTGGGTTAATTATTAATTACCATCTATGATAGCGCAATAGGCGCTGCGTTCTTTCGCGAGGCGAGTATGGAACGTCATTTAGTATGGAGTTCAAGATTTTTAACAGCTGAAAAGAGTTAAATCGATGATTGGGATTGAATTGAGGCCTTGAAAAGATCTAAAGGCACCGGCAGAAATGTAAGGGCTTTGCGATTGTGTCGAAACTTTAGAAAAAAAGTCATCAAGAATCGAGAGGATGAGATGAATATGAGAGGGAGGCGAATGAAAGAGTAATTCACGTTGGCCGGAGCGTGAGGAGAAAAAAACAGAAGTCAGTGGTTGAAATTTCAAAGATTCATTCTTTGAATATTCAACTGATTCTTCAGTTTTAATCCATAAAATTAACAAGAAAAATATAAAAAAAAAAGGGAAAAAATTGTACGAAAGGCTAGAAAAAGTAAGAGAAAATCCGTTCAGATGCGTTGAGCATCAGATTGAGTCAATTTATCAATTCTGCTCAGTTTTTCACGCCGAGTTTTGTGCATTTGCTAGAACTTCTGCGTCGGAATAAATTAATTCATTGAATATTTGATTATTGATTCGTATTCTCTTCGTTTGTGACTTCACATCGTTCATTACTCGCCTTTTTTTCATTATTCAGCAATTTAATTGTTTGAATTGCTAATTTATGAAGAAAAGAGACAGATAGTTGCTGCATAATTGGATTAATTGTCATTTTAAATTGGAAATTCAGACTCGACTTGGAGATTTGCCTTCTATTAATTGAACAAATTAATGAGTGGAATACGACGCTAAATCAAATTGTTATTATATTTTGTTTCATCTCATTCAAATGGAAGTAATGTGAGAAATGATCAGCAGAAATTACTAATCAAAATTAAAAAATGAAAGATAGAAAAATTGTAAAGGATGACATTTGCACGTCTCAATCTTCAGATTTAATAAATTCAATAAAAATGTTAATTCAAATGTCAATTGCACTTGAACAATTCGGAAATACTTTTTTTTTTACTGATAATTTTAAAACGTGCAAATTCATTCTCGATTCACTTGTCAAATTTGGAGAGAAAATTTATAGGGATCGGTGAAAGATTCATCAATTCCAAATAAAAGAATTCTGATTGGAATACACCATCAAAAATTTACAGCATAATTAATTTTATCCACTATAATCCCTTTATAATCCCTTTTGGATTGAGTGTTGAGTCAATAATGGGGTGTGGGAGAATTTATAATTCAGTTGATAATTTCGTCATTTCTGGAGCAAATTTATTTAACACACATTTTCGTGTCGCGTTTTAATTGAACTTGGGGATTCATTATTTTTTGACCATTCAGGTCGCTATCGGAAATATTTTATCGCTGAAAATTGATACAAATTGGTAAATGGAGAATATTTTAAGAAAATTTCCAATTAGTCAAAGTAAAAATTGATATTTTTGTTTTTTTTTCATTCTCCCATAACAATTAAATACCCAATACAAAACTAAAATTAAGATTGAGGCATTGACTCCTGAAAATAATCACGAAAATTTCCCATAAAATTTATTTAATTAAATTTTTACAGAGCTCCAATGTAAATATGAATAATCAATACTCAATGGTTCAATTAATTTTCTTGATTTTCCTCTGAAATCAACGGTTGCAATTGATTCTATTCCAATTGTCCTGCCTCGTAATTCCCTCCGAGTGTTTCAATAAAAAAAATCCCATGTCTTTAATTTCCAAAAAATGAGCACAAAAATTCCCACGGAAATATTTCCCCTGAAATTTCCGCAGAAACCCACCCGAAATGCTTCATACTCCCATTAAATCACAAATAATTCCCCGATTTTCCCGAAATTAAAAAATTTCCATGATTTTCATTAAACCCGTACCCCCAATTTTCGCTAAATAATTGACTCGAAAAATGCCGCATTAAAAATATTTCCAGCCAATTAAACCCAAGAAAAGTAGATATTCGACAACAATAAAAAAAAACCTGAAGGATAAAAATAAAATGTGAAATAATGAAGCGCTGGAAGTTGTTGGGTAAAACAATAGCCCACATATTCCAAGATGTAATTACATAGAGTACACGTCAGAGTGGACAAATGGTAATTTAATCAGTGGAAATACTAAACAGACATGGAAACAGTAAATTCCCTCCATAACACCTTGGGTGTTTCACGGAGTTTCCCTCGGCATTAACAGTCCCATGAAGTTTCCACTCCTGACACAACGCTCTTGATAACAACCATCCGAGTATCGTATCCCATCTAGATACATCCTGATATAATGGGAGATGCTGGATCTTGGATCCAAATGGTAATGAGGATGCATCAATCCCGGGGTGGAATCCAAAACAGTCTGGGTGACTGAATTAATCACCTTTGATCAAACTCTGGGGGATATTTATCTTCGTGGAATTGTGATAGGATATCTGACACTTCTGAGGTACATTCCACTCGCTAAATGCTACATGATTATGATCAATCGCTTTGGTGAGATGAATGAACTTGTTTATCGGGTTAAGATCAATTTGACGGGATAATAGAAGGGGAATTTCATAGTTATCATCAATCACTCCCTGGAGGGGAATTTTTTTAGGGTCCTGGGGATTTTCCTGGAGTGGGTATGGATTAACGTGAATTTCAGGGATTTCATTCATGTCTTCTTCGAGTTTTGATCCTCCATTGTAAATAGAAGAAGTAAGTTTTATTTTATTGTTAGATCCAGGGATTTTGGGGTATTGTTTTTGGAAATAATTCACTCGTGAATTTGTGGGGAGTTTTATAATTAAAGTTGCTGGGAATGTGAGAATGTGATCCAACAATGGATGGAGTATATGTAAATAAAAGAGGAAAACAAAGAATTGTGGCCATCGAATTTTCACTCGAGATAAGTCCGTGAAGATGAATTACACGCCTTTTAGTATCGGTTTCATTATCCAGGTGGGAATTCTCATCCTCATTATGTGTCCGTTCGCATGGAACACCGGAATGAGAGCATCGAATAAAATAGGGGAGAATAGAGTGAGAAAAAAAGGACAAAGCATTGTGTTTTCGAGAAATTAAACCTTTTCGGTCCAGAGTGCAGACAGTCAAGAAACTAAAATCACCTTTATATTTCTTAAATTCAATCAACAAAAAAACCGTTGCATATTTATCAAAAATTCCATTTTTAAAAAATATAATCACTTTTTTTCATAATCTCAAACTCACGATTGAGTGTCTTTTATAATCGGGTGATAACGATTATTCAAGACGATTTTGCAATTGGTTCCAATTAATTTGGGGATGAATTTTGGGGTGTAAGTAGCTTAGACCTGAGGACAAGGGGAAAGACTTGTGTATGTCTGACTGATAGCACTGCCATGGCATGTGACTACAGGCTGTGGCAAGATAAGCCTTGGCAACGGTATGCCACGCAATATTGCTCACTCCAGAGTTGGGGCAGATTGGAAATGGCCGAGTATCTGTTCACAAGAAGATAACCGTGTAATGGTGATCCCCGTGAGAAAATGGTATTGAATGTCATCACCGTCTTTATCGTGTTTTACAGAGCAAAGGGAGCAGTCAAGTGGCAGATGCCACCGATCCATTTCGTTTTCTCATTTTACCGCGTTGAGAACGTCTTTTCTCATCACGGTGTGTGGAAAAGGAAAATTTGTAAGAAAGCCCCGCATCGTTTCGCGTGCGTAAAAAGTGACTTTTCCACATTTTGACGAAAGATATTGTTCGTGTATTGTAACTCGTGTGGAAAAGCGATTTTTGGTATGCAGGATTATACCGCCTGTTAAACCTCCCACTCGCAAAAAATCACTTTCCGCACTTGTTATGAAATTTTTAATCGATCTTCCACACGGTGTGTAAAGTGACATTTTGCGCACGCTCTGCGTTCGGAAAATTCCACTCCCCATATACTGCGGCGAAATATGATATTATTGTTGTTATTATTATTATTATGGTACGAGTGCGAAAAGTCAAGGTTGTGCGTAAAGTGAAAGCAAGTATTTTACGCACATTAAGCGGGTTCGAAAAGTGAACTTTAGAGGTAGCTATTGCAGGAATAATTGTACGAAACATTTAATTCTCAATAATTATCATGAAATTCGTGTTTGTATTATATATGATAATTAAAAATTCATTGAATAATAAAGTTATCATTCCGCGATCGATACGGGACAATTCTTGACGTACTGTAAATTTCATGAATATCATCTTGAATTCTCAATTTCCAGAATGAAATACGAAATTCAGGCTCTTTATGAAATACTATTCGTTTTATTGAAATTTCGGAATAATTGATTTGATTTTAAATTGAGCCACATGGGTGAGGCAATAATTAGTTATCAATAAGTAATTTCCCAATGTCATGAAATCATTTTGGCGAAATTTTCTTCATTTCTGTAGATGATTTTTTATTTTAGTGTTGTTTAATCCGTTCTTCACACCCGAATTACATTTTCGATGGTCTGAATTAATTAAATAAATGATAACAAATTCGTCTTTGAAAAATTTGAATAATTATAATTATAATTTCCACAAAATTAGAGTTGAACAGATATTTATAGTAAAATAATTAACATTATTTGAAAAATAAAACCGGTTTGATTCTGAATATTGGTGAATTTTTCAGTTTTCCGTGGCAATTGAACTGAAAAATTGGATAATTAGCCAGCAGCTGAAAAGAAAAATCCACTTGGATTGAAAAAATAGTCTTTGAAAATCTGCGGTGGAACCCCTCATTACCAAAATATTTAGGCAATTACAGGAATAGTTAATTGGCAATCACTGGGGCGGAAAAAAGTACCCTGGCTCTCGGTGGCCACCACAATCTCCGATAACCACATCGCTCACCCCCTCAATCAATACAGATCACCCCAAGTACCCTGGCTGATGCTTAACAATCATCCTCGCGAATGTATCCACACAAAATATCGATTATCCTTGTGAAGACCGCAGAGCTCAACCGATGAAATGCATGTACACACAGTTGGTCAATACTCCAAGTACATTTCTCTGTTAAACGGAATAGTACTTCTCGTTTACAAGGGCACGGAGTACCTCTCGAGTGGATGTGAACTCTTCACATCCCCTTCATTCAGCATTTTATCCCATTTTCCTCTTCAAAAATCCTGAAAAATTCCTTGTATTTAACAATAAAATTAACATTAACAATACAAACAGAGTGGAAAATTTTCGAAAAATTTCCGTTTGTAAATTATTCCCAGAAACTGTCTGATAGAATAAAAATTCACTGGAAAATTTTTCCCTCACTAATTTCCCATGTGGAGTTTTCCGACAAAACATCGAAAAAAAAATAGCTGGGAAAATATTTCCGAGAATTTTTTAATAGGGAAAAACCTGGTCTCCTGTGACAGTTCCAATTTATATATATATATATATATATATCATGATAAAAGTTGAATCTCAAATAAAAAAATAAAAGCATGGAATATACATTTCGAGAATATAACAAATAGTTCTGAATTCTCCATCTGATTGATCGTCTCGATTGACCCGCCAATAATTGATCGAATTTTCTCCGCTGATCTCCCGCGACGTACGTTTTCTTGTTCCCCTTCCACCAGATCCCCAGAATAATCTGTCCATTAATTAACATTCCTCTGTGAAAAATCCCCGGGAGCCCCCAATTAAAATAATTAAAACCCTGACAGTTATTTACTCTCTCAAAACACGTCTAGGACATGTCTAGCACTTCACTCACGCCAATTCACTCCTCCCCTCCCTTGTCACCGGCCTTTTGTCCAATCACATGCACTCATTCGTCTCTCCCCTCCGCCGTGATTTTAACCCGCACCATCTTCAGCCCGTCGGCAACATCAATATTCCTCTCGGTCGGTGGCCCAAGTAGTGAGTGATATCGATTCAGACAGCCAATTAGGGCTAAAAGGCCCTTCAACGTGAATTTGTGCACAGATAGACAGACAGAAAAGGCGTCCCAAACGCTTTCTCTCCAGCCTAACCTCCTCTTCCCTCGTCTCCATTGTCTCAAGCCATTTCTTATTTTTTATTTTTTTTTATTTTACTTTTCCTCATCTCTCCTTTCGCCCCTCATTGCCCCTCGTTACTCATCTCTCTTCATCTCTTCTCATCTCTCTTCATCTCTTCTCATCTCTTCTCATCTCTTCTCATCTCTTTCTCGCCCTTTTCATTTACATTCACTTTGTCCATCTGTCTAAAGTCTTAGGATTATTATTATTTTTCTTATTCAGCAGTAATAACTGTAGACAAGATGGCGTCCCCCATGACATGGCGCTCGTTACCGGTCACAACGAGGGGTTGAGTGCAAGGAAAAAATGGAGATTTCTGTTATTTCCTTTGGGAGGACAAAAAAGTGACATCATCTCTTGTCATTTCTTTTTTTCATCCTCGATTTGTCGCATCAACGTCACGTGTGTCTTCACCCCAGATCCATTGTCGATGTCCTGGGGTGAGAGATATATAATTCTCTGCCCCTCTACCCCATCCCCGAGGATAAAATGAAAACGAAAAAGGCGACAATGAGGAAATTCAGTCAGAATATGCGGGAGGTGATTTTTCCTAAGAGGGTGGGACATTTTCCTGGGAAATTGAGCGCTTGCGGAAGGAAATTGGAGAAGGTGATTTTGGATTGGAGTGGGAAGTGATTCCTGGGTGAGGGAGACTTTTTTTTTTGGAGGGATTAAGCAGTGGCAAACGTCAGATTTTTTTTCCTAGGTAATGAAATTTTTTTCGGAGTGTCTCCTGATTTCCTGGTGGGACCCGTAATCTCGGGACTATTTGGGGGATCAGAAGCTCATGACGGGGCATCTACTAATCGTCAAACTTCTCCTCAAAAGAAAACTTGACTACTCGGATAAGAATATTTTTAACATCAACAATAAATAAACTTATATCACATCTATAGTTTTACATCTCACAGTGTTAAAAAACTATTTTTGAAATCTTCAACACTCGATGAAATAAAAACATTTCAAATCGTATAATGTAGCAAAAATCCATTATATCACTCCATTTTTACTAATACTCTGTTAATATATTTCTCCTAAAAATCCATTGAACGTGAAATTAGTTTAAAAAGAATGCATTTAATTATAACAAAAAAGGAAATCAATATGACGATATTGTCATAAGATATCATGAATCATCAAATTAAATTGATAAAATTAATTATCCATTACAATAAATCAAACTGTGAATCCTGAAAATTGCCATCCAACCGAATAGCATAAAGCAAATATACAAATATACACTGAACTAATATTATTCCGGATATATTCCCAAAAATATCTGCAATCGGTGAGAATTTTCCACGACGACCGAACACCTCCACTCCTCCCCCTAAAAACTGGAAATTTCGTTTCCGTAATCTGGCAGTGCATTTAAGCACTTTACGAAACCCCTCGTATATCTCTCACTCCACGACGTGACATAGCATTCGATACGGCGTGCAGTACCAGTGGGGGGATGAATAGAGGGATATAACCCCTGCCTCCACGCCCCGCGCACGCGCAAACCACTCAACTGAACCTCACACCTTCCCCACCCCCCTGTTCCGCGGGTGAAAGAAGCCCCCCCCCC